AATACAGTATGATTCATACAGATCCAAATGAAATTCAAATTTCTGCTCAGGCTTTAGAACTTGAGAATATCTCACGTCACCAAGCAAATCCAGTCCGCTTCAGGGTTGTAGACATACCTATAGAAGAAACCTTGGATACAATTTATAATGGGCTGAGGTCTAATAAGGTAATTAAAACATAAACACATTTTGTCATATTGCTGTTGACTTTTCCGTTATTTGGGTTTTGTTTCAGTGATTGCCTCCTAAGCGTTTATATGCACGTGTTTGGTTAATCTTTCCATGAAGGTGCCTAACATCATTTGGTCAACATATGTCAGAAGGCAGAAATTGGTAGAGGAATATTTTGTTAAATTGATTACGGGTAATTTGTGACAGGGTCCATTAGGTCCAGCTGTTTCAGCTTGGCTATTTATTGTCCAGATGGGGCCCACCTCCCTTCAGATGAAATGCTTTCATGATGTGTTGATGTTCAGCTTCTACCCTGGCCTTCCTTTTATTTCTGATAGTTGAAACTGCTTTTCAGGCACTCAGTGCCATTTAAGGCAAATAGGCTTTTTTTTTCTCCAGCTGATAATCCTCTATACATTTCCCTAGCAATAACTTGATTGAACTCAGTGAGAATGGCTTCTGAGTAGACAAGCATAGGATTGAACTATAAATTATAAATAGCAATGTTTGAATTGTTGTGGTTTTCAAACCATGCAGATTAAAGACAAATTACATGTATTTAAATTGTTTCTTTGCATCTTCATGCCAAGACATACTTCTGAAATAGCAGGGATTTTACAAGGGCCATGATTATTTGGCCAAGTTGTAGAAAGAAGGAAAGTAGACTCTTATAAAGAGAAGGTATTTGTAAGTTTCATGTTTTTGAATCTTGTTGTTTCATCCAGTTTGGCAATACTTTATTTTATCTCAAAGTTTGTTGATAAGCTTTCCCAGTGAAGTTAACTTCTTGTATTCACATATTAATTATATATATTGCTAAACCATTCTGAGAAAATACTTGGCTTGGAACGTTGTGGAATTGCCTTTAAGAAATATGATTTTTGAAACAGAAATAGATATCTGTATCCAATGAATTATGAAACTAATTCCACAGAGTTAAAATATAGCTAGAGTTGTATTTTCCTTTAGTAGGATGTTCTTCTTTGTCTTTGGGATTTTAACAGGAACTTCAAATATAATTTAATGTAAGAACTTGAGGAAAGAACAAGTCACATGATAAAGTGGTCCCCAAATTACTAGATGAATGTCACTCTTTGCATCTCAGTTATCACTGATAGGTGTTTATTGCTCTAAAGGGAATGTTTTAGTAGATAGTCCTCGACTTAATGACCACAACTGGGACCAGATATCCCACTGTTAAGCAAGGCAGTTGTTAAAGCTAGTTGCCATGGTTGTGAATCAGACAATCATTTAGCTTCTCTCATTGTCTTTGCTTTTTGGAAGCTGGCTGGTGTTGAAGGAAATTGAAAAGTCTTCATCGTGGTTCAGTCCAAGCTGGGAATAAACAACATGGCGACTGCTTTAGAAAGAAGGTTGTAGTTTACTGAAGAGGAGAGCCAGACAGAAAGATGGCTTTGGAAGAAAAGAGAGTGAGCACATCTAGGGAGTGGGTTTTTATACCCTCTGGAGCCTTTTCTTTGGAGTTGTTCCTGTAGCATGAACTTTGACCTGAGTGTGAGTGTGCCTTTCTGGTATTCTGATGGTGGTGGGTTAATCCTATTATGCCCCAAGGATCATATCCTGCTTCCCTGGGGCTGGGGCTGATGACTCTTAGATTTTTGGTGTTGATTCTAGGGATCTTTCTTTCTAATCCCAATTTCCTGACTCCAGTCTTTCTGACAAGAATATCACCTGCATTTCTAAAGACTTGGTTTCTGTTTGAGACAGAGAGACTTGGGGATGGGGTTGGTTTCTACCTTTAAAATCCTTTCGGGCAGTGATGGTGAACCTTTTAGAGACTGAGTGCCCAAAACCCACTTATGCATTGTCGAGTGCCGGGTGGGTGTGGCCTATTGGATGGGTGTGGCTGTGGTGGTAACAGCAGACTGGGTGGGACTAAAAAGTTCAATCAATCAATTCCAACTTTGCAAGATCTTTTTTTTTTCCCCGCAAGAAGTTGAAATTGATTGATTGAACCTTTTTTTTTTTACACGGTGGTGGAGGCCTAAAGCAAAAAGGGTTTATAAAACCCAGCTGAAGGCCTAAGACTGGGGCGACGGCGCATGTGCCCACAGAGAGGGCTCTGAGTGCCGCCTCTGGCACCCATGCCATAGGTTCGCCACCACTGCTTTAGGGGAATATATTCTGCCTTTTAAATATTTCCAAAAATATTTCTTTCTTGGGGGGGGGGGCTGACTTCCTACACTGGGAAGATCACAAATGGCGATCACATGACTCTGAAATACTGTAACCATCTAAAATACATGCTGATTGCCAAACACTCAAATTTTGATCATGTGACCATAGGGATGCTGTGACAGTCGTAAGTGCAAGGACTGGTCATAATTCACTATTTTCAGTGCTGTTGTGACTTCAAAAAAAATCACTAAATGAATGGCTGCAAGTCAACGACTCCCTGTAATATATTGTACTTTGTTCAACAAGGCAAGAGCTTAATGCACTACTTACGGGTATTAAAAGTTTCTTTGCAAAACATTATGTGAAGTTGCCAATGATGATGTTTCTTGCTTATTCTGAAAACCTTATTTTTTTCATATTCTTGAAACAAATGAAGGATTGGATGCATCAGAAATAGTGTTATGTTTGTAATGTGCTTTGCATTCCACAAATATGTATAGTATTCTTGGTGGCTACTAGGCATTTTTCCTTTATCCCATGAAAAGATTGTTAAAACGTGTAAAGAAAGGCGTCTACATGTTTGGGATTAATCCCATATTTAGTTTTAGTTTCTCTCTTTGTTTAATCTGTAACTATTTCCTGGAGGAATTTGACATTCTTCTATTTCTTAGTGTACTTTCTTTGCATACGAGTGGTAGCTTCTATTATGAAGATTTGCAGGATTTTGTGTAGGTTGAATTCTTGTTTTTAATATAATACTTTTCTAATAAATTAGAACATGCATTATCCAGTTGATCCACATTTGATACTTCCCGGTTTTCAGACTTTCTTTAATTCAGCAGTCTCCAACCTCTCCAGCTTGGGGGACCGGCAGATGGGGCGGCAGCAGCAGGGGGCGGGGAGAGGGGACGGCTTCCTGCACGCACATGCCACTTTCACAAATACAGCTTCGTCCACATGCGTGCACTTGCCCACCATTTGCACAGCCCAGTTCCAAACTGGTGGACCAGGGGTAGGGGACCCCTCCTTTAATTGGTATTATGTAGATTATACCAATTATAAGGGCTGCAGTCTTTGATGGCAACTTACAAGCATATGTTGTTTTCACATTCTCATCTTTTAAGATAATAAAACCTCTCAGGTAATTCTTCATAATTGGGAGCATAAGTATGAGAATAGGGTCTACTATGTAAGTGTGTAAGCTAATCCCCAACATAGGTACCGTATTAACAATACTGAGTAATGGAAATTACACTTTTGGTGTCCAGTAGCATTCTTTATATTAATTGTACCAATGTCAAAAGTAACAGTTTTCCTTAATGCCCAAACTGCCTGAAGGCTAAAGGTTGCATATTATTTGTCCTATTTAATTTTGCCATCTCAATAACTGGGAATGCTTGCTGTTGATTGCCTTTTTATATCCTCAGATGGCCCCTCAGTCTAATGGATTGAGTTTATTATATTTACCTCCTTTATTATGGCAATGTTATGGTTAAACCAAAGGGGAATCTCATGGAAATGCAGCAGTGCTATTTACTCTTGGTTTTACTGTCACTTTTTGTAACCATTCCTGCTGCTTTTAAAAGGATAATGCTGCTGTTCATTGCTTTGCACCAGCGTTAAGATCAAATCCAGTTTCGTTGCTGCAGTTAACTTGAGGGGTTTTTTTTGCCATAAGATAACATTATAATAACACTGGAACTGTGAATCCAGTTATCCATTAACCACTTGAACTAATGACAAGCTCCCTCAGTTAAAACTAAGAACACTGGACTGCTTTTAAACTAGAGCTGTACAAGAGTACTGCATCTGATGCTGATTCTGTTCCAATGAAAGGATTCCAAACTATTATCACTGTCAGGTATAGGTAGGGAAAAGTGTGTTGTCTAGTGGTGTGTGTTTCCAAAAAGAATGGGTGTGAGCTTATATATTCATGTAAACAAAGCAGTTAGATAGGACTTTGGAAAAACATCTTCAGAATTACTGTCCCTAGCAATTCTCTTCAACCTGGCATGAATTGCCATATAGAGTACAGATTTTTTTTTGGGAGGGGGGGCTCTGTGTTAGGAGAGTTAAACATCAGGATTGTTGATGCTTTACAGATGAGAGGGAAAAGGTACTTCAGATCTCAGGTGGAATTGCAAGATATTAAAACGGCCATAGTTTTTTTCAGGGTTCCTTATGAGCCTGAAAAAAGATACACCAGTTTAAGAAATCCAAAGGTAATGAGACTTTTAAAGTGCCGGCACTTATTATTTTGGCCTTGCACAGAAGCTATTTGGCTAGTGGAGAGAGAGAGAGATGGCATTCACACTGAAGGTTTGAAGCCCTTCTTCCAAGTCATTTTTGAAGCTTGCACAGCTCCATTAAACGCAGATCATTATGGTCATACTTTCACTTTTAACATGGTGTTAGTTGCCACTTTTGTAATAACTGTTTGTCAATCCTTAGTGTCTGTCTGTCTATCTAATCATCTGAATTTGCCCTGAATTGTTTTAGGCTATTAAGTGCAATTTTACATATACATTTTACATATAAAGATTATTCCCAACACAGTGCATGCTGTGTGTTTTGACTTCCGATATCTGCTCCGGTTGCTGCTTTTGTTCAACAGGCTCCAGGGTCTTTTGTCCAAATAGTTTTGTCTTTTACTTTCCATTTGTTTTATTTATTTATTTTTCAATTGATAGGCATTTGAGAAAGAAGAGATTGAACCACTGCAACTTAAGCAGCAGGAGGTAAATTGGTTGGGCCAAGGCCTTATTCAGAGCGCTGCTAAAAATGCAAGTACTGATAACCTTGAGCGTGATCTTGAAGACGTTAATACAAGGTGGAAGACTCTCAATAAAAAGGTACTAAGCTATATTTTTGCTGCAAATACTTGTTGCTCTTACTGGGTTGTTGTTTCCGATAACTCACCACAGAGTTGCTAAATAGTAGGCATGCTGCATAATAACATATAGTCTCCCAAGTCTGAAGCATCACCTATGCTTCAGTATCCGTGTAGAGCTCCTGAACGCACAGATGAATATTTCTCACATGAACACAAAATATTATTTTTAAAATTATACCTATCAGTAGTGTTACATGTTGTTTTGGAAATAATTTGGAAAACATATTTGGATTGAACAAAGGTGGTAATATAGTACTTGTCTACATTGCTTAAGCTGAGGAGTCAAATGGCTGCTCCCATAGCTGTACTGTGATTATAGGAAAATATGTTTCTCCTTTAGAAGAGTTGCAGAACAAGCATTGCGTTGTGTTAATGCTCTGCATCTAACAGAGTATATGCTGGCTCAGGAATTCTGGGAGTTGAAATCCACGAGTCATAAAAGAGCCAAGGTTGCCTACCCCTGTCTTGGGCCACTCACATTATGTATTAATATTTTTTTCAAAGAAATTATTACTATACTTAGGAATGTTCAGTGGTCATGCATCAAATGAGAAAGGAATAATTACTCATCATTATTATAATAAATATAAAATACTTATCATATAATGAACATAATAACATGATAAACTTACATTCAGAGAATACCAGAAGTCAGGACCCATCGACAATTTAATAGATTAACTCTTCAAATAAATGGTTTATGGGGCCTGGTTTTGGTATTCTCTGTATGTAAGTTTAACGTGTTACTTATATTATTATATGATGAATATTTTATATTATAATATAAATTTAGAACATATTATAAATCTATATACATTTATTACGGTCATAAAATCATCCAAAAAGATGCTTTGGAGGAATGCGATTAAAAGTTTAATGTTTATTAAAACTTTTAATCGCATTCCTCCAAAGCATCTTTTTTGGAATTGAATAGGAAAGATTCCATAGTGTTAGACCTGTCATGCCTGCTGATAACACATAAAGTCAGATAGTATCATTTCAGTAATCTTGAAAAATATAAGAAAGTCCTAAACAGACGATTATTTTATTAATGTGAATCATAACTAGTGAGTACAATGCCATTTTCTGTTCCCTACTGATTGAAGACAACTGAGGAGACATTTCATTTGCCATCCAAGCATTGATGCAAAATTGAAGAGAGAAAGAAAAGAAACTGTGAAGATTATCTTTTCCATTCTAGATGTAGAGTTAGGTCTTATACCTTGGTGGCTGACTAAATATTGCAGTTCATATATTATGGCAATAATTTTAAATAATTACCTAAGTACAGGTAGTAAGTACAGGTAGTCCTCGATTTAGGAACACAATGAGCCCAAAATATCCATTGCTAAGCTTGCCACAGTTAAGTGACTCACTGCAGCTTTTATGCTAGTGACATGGTTGTTAATGGGCTTTCCCATTGATTTTGCTTGTCATAAGGTCGCAAAAGAATCACGTGATCCCGCCCTGGGACACTACCGCTGTCATAAATACATGCCAGTTGCCAAGCATCTGAATTTTGACCATAGGGAAGGTGTCACGGCTGTAATTGTAAAAAATGGTCATAAGTCCCTTTTTTCAATGCGATTGTAATTTGAGTGGTCACTAAACGAATGGTTGTAAGTCGAGGACAACCTGTACTCGGATATCATCACATCCATGAAGCATTGCAATGCTTAATTTTTGTTCTCCTAATTTCCTTCACTTTCTCAATGGGGTTGGGAAGTCAGAGGCTGCATTGTGGGCAGAGGATGATGTCTTCAGAATTGGGGCTTGTTTTATATTTTTCAGGTTGCACAAAGAGCAGCACAATTGCAAGAAGCATTGTTGCACTGTGGGAGATTTCAAGATGCTGTTGAATCGATTCTTAGCTGGTTAATTGATACAGAAGATCTTGTGGCTAATCAGAAGCCCCCGTCTGCTGAATTTAAAGTTGTGAAGGCCCAAATACAGGAACAAAAAGTAAGTGAAAGTTATTTATTTGTCTTTAGTTTTTAATTTTTTCCCCCTTTCGTTGGAGATGGAGGTGGAAATAACACTATCCTTTCATGATCCACTGTGTCCACTTTGAGATGGGACAGGGAGACAAGCAGAGAAGAATTTGAATGGGAAGGGATAGTAGCCTTTTTTACTCCATTGTTCCATATCCTAGTTTTTCTTTATGCTTTTTTTTTTAAGGGGAAATTTGCTTCACCTCTGGAAGGGATAGGTAGGGAGGACAGAATCTAGAGTCTATAGGAATGTATCCATCATCACCTGCATTCTAGAATGTTCCATGCTTGCTTATTCAATCAGAGGCTTCAGAAATGAATAAGGTCTCCCCAGAGGATCTTCAGAAGTGAATACCAAATTATTATTTCAGAGTAACAGAACAAGTGTTTGAGATAAAAGCAACTGATTCAATTAACTCCCATTTAGATTTTTTTTTTAGCCTCATACTTATTCTGTAATTTGAGCCTTGCTCCAGGCATACCACATAAAGGATTTTCATAAGATTACTTCTATGAAAAATCAAAGGAGCATACTAGCTAATTTATTTTTTGTATGTTTACATACCATTCTATCACGGAATAGGAGAGAATAAAAATGGAATTTTCAAATAGTCCCTATCAAGGCACTGACAAGACCCAGGCTATCTTAGTTCCACTAACGTTACTTCATTACTCTGGAGTGCTCTTGATGGATTTTGGCATCCTTTATGCACTTGAATATAAATAGAAAGGGAATGGTCTACATAATCAAATAAACATTGTTCAACCCATAACTTTATTTTCAGAATCGGCTATCAAGGAGAAAATGATGAGTTTGTTGGGGTCAGGATTAGTAACTGGCAATTTTTTAGCAAATGTTAGTGCTTCCTGAATCAGTTGTATGAAAAACAAAGATAACCTGCTTTTATAGCAACAAAATTTGCAATTTTATTTTTTTAAAATAGGAGTAGCACCTTTACCTTTTTGTTTCATCTTCTTATAGTTTAATAATAGAATAGTAAAACATCCACTTGACAGAAAAAAATAAATTCATAGAAAGGTATTTATATTGGATTTGCCTACCACAGAGAACTACAGGCTTACCCATATTTAAGTAGTATGCAGTATGAAAAGTGCAAAACATAATCTTCAAAATATAAAGATACTTTATTTCTTCCCCGCTCAAGTCCTACTACACTACCTTATCATGGCAGGGCATGATAGTGTTCATGAGAGGGATGTGCAAAGAATGCCAGGAATATACGCCAACCGTATATACTGTTAACAGGGTCACCTCTGAGTCATGAAGATCATCCTAGGTGCCCAGCTAAAGCAAGCAGGCGCATACACTGGGCAACAGCAATGTATAAAAATAATGGGGATGGCAGATCACTTTAGTGAAGGAGGCATCATTTCATACTGCACGAGATAATGCAGTGGTAAACTGCTCCAGTATTTTACCAAGAAAATCATACGAATAGATAAGATAAAGTGATTGATGATATAGTTCCAGGTAATTGGCTTCTTGGGTTAGATGGTACTTAGCATGCTGCTGAGAGAAAGCTGATGATCTATGGTACAATCACCGGCTAAGGAGAGGAGGGAATAAGAGGTGTCACTTCATGGGAGGAAACATGATAGACTAGATCAGTGAAAATTTATCTACTGTTTCCCAAGGGAAGACAGCAAGTCTGGCAAGAATAATGTCAGGTGCAAGTAACCAGAACAACTTTGTGAATAGGCCAAAGCAGTTTCTTTATTGTTGGTCACATATATTACAAGAACCTTGCCAGTCTGGCTGCATTCCCTTGGAAACCAGTACATAAGACTTCACTAGTCTGGTCTGACATTTCCTCCCATGTAGCGACTCCAAGTTGCCACATCTCTTTACTCCACCCTCTCCTTTAGCTTGTGTTCCTATACATGATCTTTAAGAATGCTAATGGCATTTATGAGAACTTTCAGGGGAGGTCTGGCAAATTGAAGAGAGCTTTGTGAAAGCGAAGCCAACCACCGCAGCAAAGACCAAGAAATGAGCGAGTTGACTGTTTCCTTGAAATGAGAGATTGCCCACATGTTCTCCTCACAGAAAGCAACCACATGTGTGGTTGCTTCGTGTGAGGAGACAGGAAGACAGTGGTTGTCCACGGGTTTGAGCATGGAGAAGTCATGGGATCGGTCATCTTGTTGGCAACCACAGCAGAGCCTTTTAAAGGAGATTGAGTTCACAAAACTTTCACTTTTGGGAAATTACCTATTAACCATCTTAAAACTATTAGAGACCTTTGCAACAACAAGGTTGAAAACTCTTCATTCAGTTAATTTATCTTCCCACTCTGAACAAGAGAAAAAATAACTACAGGCTTAAAAATATAAAGAATGGGAAATAAACAGCAAAAAGCTAAATAAGATTTCGATCTAAGAAAGCTATAAGTGGATTAAGGGTCAGGATAAATTTGGAATATTTACTTTTATTATAAGTTTTTGGAATGATATGTAAAAAATAACTTTTCACGGGAAACAGATTTATTTTGGCTATTCTGCTATTCTGACAGTTGCAAGTCTTGGCAAAAGATAAACGATGATTTTGGAAACTGGTTACTAGAGAGGAAGCCTGATGTGGTCGTCGACTTATGACCACAATTGAGCCCAAAATTTCCATTCCTAAACACGATAGTTGTTAAGTGAATTTTGCCCCATTTTAGAACTTTTCTTGCCACAGTTGTTGAGACACTGCAGTTGTTAAGTTAGTAACACGATTGTTAAGTGAATCTGGATTCCCCATTGACTTTGCTTGTCAGAAAGTCGCAAAATGTCCGTTGCAATGTCCCACATGACACTGGGACATTGCAACGGTCATAAATACATGCCAGTTGCCAAGCAGTCGAATTTTGATCATGTGACCATGGGGCTGTTGCAACAGTCGTAAGTGTGAAAGACAGTCACCATAAGTCACTTTTTTCAGTGTCATAGTAATTTTGAACTGTCACTAAATGAATGGTTTAAAGTCGAGGACTACCTGTACTAGGACTTACAAAATAATACAAAATGTTAGAGTATTGCAAATATTACAGGAGATCTTTAAAGAATGGAGCCAGAGGCTAGTAACAACAATAGCAACACTGTCAGTAAGAGGTCTGTTTTAGAGATCATATCTAAAAGATATTACTGAAGGGGAATGGCAGATGTAAAAAAGAATTATCTGACAAGATAAAAAAAAGTACAAATGACAGGCCAAGAGAATGATTTGGAAAAAAGACACTTTATTGGATATGCAAAAGAAACTGGCTGAAATTTTAAAAATTAAGAGGAAAATATAAGTGATTAAACCAAGAGAATGACCTGGAAATCTACAAAAGAAGCTTGTTAAAACCTTGAAGAAATCTGCACAATGGGATGAGCAAAAATTGAAGAGAAATCAAATCCTATGAAAATATTTGATTGTAATAAATATTAAAACTGTTAGTAAAAGGAAGGAACGTAAACTTGGTTTATTTGATCAAGACTGAAATAAGATACATAATAAAGATACATAAAGGCAACCCTTTATGAACTTTTTGCTGATACCAGAATTGAAAAGTTGATGTTTTATGTATTTGTTCAAAGATAATTGATAGGATATTGGATGAAGCAATTTTTTTTAACCTTATAGAACAGAGGTGTCAAACTCAATTTCATTGAGGGCCGCATCAGCATTGCGGTTGCCCTCGGGAGGGTGGGTGTGGCCAGGGTGGGTGTGGCCTACTGGGTGGGCGTGGGTGAAGTGGGTGTGGCCTACTGGGTGGGTGTGGCCAGTTTTACATCGTTCACATCAAGGGTGCCTGTGGGGGCCTGGACAGGTGTGGGACAGATCTGAGGGTCTCTGGCAGAAGGGGATGGGACCGGGGCAAGTGCCAAGGCATGGTGCATTTCTTCATTCCTCACAAAGGTGACACCTCCCCAGCATGCACCCAGGGGACTGGTTCCTCGCTGTTTCCAGATGGCCTTGTGGAGCTAAGACTGAATGCGTTTCAGCATAGATGGCCACCACAAAATTGTACATTGGCTCCCGGCCGGCCTGGGCCAGGGCCAAGGCAGCGGGGGCCGTTCCCTCACTTTTTCCAGGATGGCTTCGTGGGCCACATGAAACCACTTCGCAGGCCGCATCCGGCCCCCGGGCCTTGTGTTTGACATGTCTGTTATAGAGGAGGGATCCCCAACCCCCAGAACATGACCAGTTGGGAACTGGGCCACGCAAGTGGGCAAAGCTCCGTTGGCACAGGTAGCAGGCGCACACACAAAACCATTCCCTCTCCCCACCTCTGCCACTGCCAGTCTGCGAAATTGGAAAGGTTGGGGGTCTTATAGAGCAGAGATCCCCAATCTTTTGGGCACCAGGGACCGGTTCCGTGGAGAAAGGTTTTTCCACGGACCTGAGAGTGCGTGGTTTTGTGTATTGCCTGCATCTTGCGGATGGGGCTTTGCTTGTTTATGCAGCCCGGTTCCTGGCATGCTACAGCCAGCAGGTCCACAGACGGGGGTTGGGGACTCCTGTTATAGAAGGTGAAGAGTTATTAAATTTGTTTATAATAATTGTGATGAAGGTTGAAAGTGATACCATATTTTTTCTTTTTCCTCATACTCTTTTCTTTTTATCTTTACCTGCACTTCTAAGTCTTTTCATTTGCTTCTCTTTCTCTAAGTTTAGTTTGCATTATTTTAGTATTATAATTAAAATTCTTAATAAAAACAATATTTGAAGAGATTGTGAATAGAGTTTACAAAGTTTATATTGGATTAAGTCTAGATTGAAATCTTGGAACATCAAGTTGCTGATGTTGCCACACAGAAAAAAGAAAATCTGAACTTGCAAAAACAGAATTACAGGGGGAATATGGAATGTAAAATACATGAACATAGGAAAGGTCAACACAGAAAGATGAAGTAATTCGTATAATTCTGTAGAAGTCAATCTGTGTGGTTGCTAAGAATCAGTACTAGCTTAATCGCATGTTACCAATTAATACTTTATTTATAGTATCAGGGGATTTCTCATATAAGAAGTTTATACACAAGGCATAAACAGCAAAAAGCCTCAATGGAGGCTAATATAACCTTAAAAACCTAATAAGCTGAATGAATGTGTATAAAACCCTAAAGTATTTTATTGCATTTCCACAAAATCCTTTCCTAAAGCTATAATTTTAAGGGCATTCCAAGAGTAAAATCTTTCTTACGATGATGATAGTAATTATGTAATCCTGAGAAAAATAAATACAGCTCAAGGCTTGGCTATACACTTAATTTCCAATTAAGAAGTTTAATTTACCTGGATTGTCTCCCAAGCTAACTTTTGGAATATACTCAGGAGAATTTCAAATATAGCTTTCCTCTGCACAGCTGCATCTTGGCTGCTGGCTTTTCCAGACAGCCTGGAAAGATGATTCATTAAACACCATGCGGTGTCTTTCCTCAGAGGGTTGCCTTCAATTGTTTAACTAAGTACTTCTGTTTTCTGATTAAAACAATTACAGAGCATGCTTTCTATTATGTGGTACTTGCTACAACATGCTCTTGAACTGCCCATATTGTTGTCTTGGAGAGCAGAATAAGCGTGGATTTAATTGGTGAACTTGTGTGTCTCGTTTACTCGGCTTTTGACAAATATGATTTTTGTAGACCAGTCTGCAACTAGGAAGAAAAATATACTAATGCCCCCTGAAAAAGTTACAACTTGGTATGATATAAATAGACAGTGGTCTATGAAAGTTTATCAGATGTCTAAAATTATTCCACTGAGTTACAAAACTGTATGATGGAAATGGTGAAAGTTGAAGTCAAAGAGATACATAGTGTAGAAAGTACAGGCTCTTAGTACTGTGAAGAAGTCTTTCTGCACTTCCCTTGAACACCATGGTTTATAATTCACAACCACTCTTCCTCAACCATGTAAAACAACAAAACCATACTGCTGGTTTCTTGAGTACACTTAACAAGAGATTACTCTATAATAAATTAGTATATCTTTAAGATACCATAACATTCGTTGTGTGTAATACAACTATTGTCTTCTAAAAAGGAGGAATATGGGTCCTTAGCTATAATCATATTATAAATAATTATTCCAAAGGTTGATGTAGGGAAGTTTATTGCTAGCAGTTGATCATATGGGAGTACTAATTGTACTTAATCGAAAATATAAAGCCATTGTTACAGAATTAACAGGACATGAATTGATAGAAAGTAAAGACAGATTTTGTAAAAACCCGCATCTATAGGCAGCATTCAGAATAGCGACTACTTCATATATCCAGGAACAAAGAATGGCGGGCACAAATAATATTATGCAAAGCCCTGTCAGAAGAGAATAATTTTAAAGTAAGAGCAAGTTTTATATTATTGTGTGCCTAGTAAGAGGGTTCATCAGTATCTTTTGAAACTACAATGGACTGCTGTCATACAGAGAGCCACGGAGATGGTTTTGAAGCAGATATTCAGAAATCATTACGTAAATGAAGAGGATGGAAGGCTTCCTTAAGTCTTGGAAAGGGGGATAGTATTAAGAAGAGATTGAGGCTGACTCTCTTCCCTGACTTACTAGGACAGTGGTTCTCAACCTTTTTAATGCCGCGACCCCCAACTGGTCGTAAGTCGAGGACTACTCAACCGGTCGTAAGTCGAGGACTACTCAACTGGTGCAGCACCGTTTGCAGAATGGGACTTTTGGCAGGCTCAGCAGGGCAGAGACAGCCTGGACAATTCCTATTGGCTTTTGAAAGCCAATAGAATTAGACTCTATTCAAGAGAGTCTATTCTATTGGCTTTCAAAAGCCAATAGAATAAAAGGGAGTAGCACAGCTAAGGAAAAGGGGGAAAAAATGGCGGACTGCGTTGTTTGGCGACCCCCGTGAAATGGTCGTTCAACCCCAAATGGGGTCCCGACCCACAGGTTGAGAACCACTGCACTAGGGTATAAGAAGATGGGGATGAAAGCACAAGGAGACTTGGGACACTTAGTTATTATAGCCTATCTCAATAAAGCTAATTCTAGCCTTCCCAGCAGAGTTGGTTTCCTGATCTGGTCTATCTCGAAGAGCTGCTGTATAAGCTGCTGCTTTCCTACTCTGAAAGCACTATATTTCATAAAAGCAAGGAAGGCATGCCTATTTGTAGCCAACCTGAGCTGTCAGTATAATGTGAAACAGAACTTAAAATAAAAATGGAAAATAATAACTCTACAGCTGACAACAGGATTTATTTAGTCCATCAGTGCTAAATGAATGAATAACCTATTTATGCAATGGGAAGCATAAATGCTGGTCTGTCTGTTGTCTGCCATTTCAGAAGACAGCTTGCTTAAATCTCTCCCACTTGCCGGTAAGCTAGACCTTGGATGATCAGCCTCTTCATCTTGTCACAAAGCCATCATTTCCTGGCAATTTAATTTTTGATTATTTTGTTTCCAGCTTCTCCAGAGATTGTTAGATGACCGCAAACCTACTGTTGAATTGATCAAGCGTGAAGGGGAAAAAATGGCAGAGTCAGCAGAGCCGGCAGATAAAGAAAAGATCTTGAAACAGCTGAGTCTCCTGGACAGCAGATGGGCTGCATTGCTTGATAAAGCAGAAATGAGGTACTTGAAATGTTTTCATTCACTTACTGGTGGAACAGGGAGCTCTCCTAGCCACAGCAAGGAAAACTGTAATTTGAAGCTGCTGTATGAGCATTTTTGTTCTAAGATGAGTATTAACTGGATGAGAAAATGCATTAGCACTGTTAGGACTAGAACTGCAGGTGAAGTACAGTAAACATGATTTATCTATTCCCTCAGTTAATAAATAGATGGATAGCTAGAAGGCAGACACTGGGGATTACAAAATGGGCATAAGGACAAGGTCTACTGCATGGAGGAGCTGACAAATTAAGTATTATTTTAATAAAGGAGTGATACCTTTTGCACCTGTGAGATTTAATTTAAAACATTTCTAGCCTAGAGTAAAGTGGTCCAGCAGATCTAACTAATCAATGTGTAAGTAGTTAAATAATCAATCAGAGTAGAACTGAAAGGGACCTTCGAGGTCTTCTAGTCCAACCCTCTGCTCATGCAGGAGACCCTGTACCATTTCACATAGATTTTGTCCCGTCTTTTTGTAAAAACCTCCAGTGATGAAGCATCCAAAACTTCTGAAGGCAAACTGTTCCGCTGGTTAATTGTTCTCACTGTTAGGAAGTTTCTCCTCAATTCCAGGCTGCTTCTCTCCTTGATTAGTTTCCCTTCATTGTTTCTTGTCCTGCCTTCTGGTGCTTTGGAGAATAAGTTGACCCCATCTTCTTTGTGGCCAGCCCCTCAAATAATGGAATAAGTGCTATCATGTCACCTCTAGTCCTTCTTTTTTCTAGACTAGCCATATCCAATTCTTGCAACCGTTCTTCATATGTTTTTCTTTCCAGGCCTTTAATCATCTTAGTTGCTCTTCTTTTTCCACAGTCCCAATATCTTTTTTGTAACATGGTGATAAAAAAACTGGATGCAGTATTCCAGGTGTAGTCTTACTAAGGATTTATAAAGTGGTACTAATACTTCGTGTGGCTTTGAAAGTACAAAATACTATGAAGTTTTGTTCTGATGATGGGGCTAGTGTTTATTTAGATTACCTTTTGTTACTAAGTCGCAAAGTTTTATTTTTTGGAAAAAAAATTAAGCTTTATTGAAGTTTGGAATCTTTTACCTATATTTGATCCCCCCAATGGTTTTTTTCTTTTTTTTTTTTCGTTCTCTCGGCGTTTTGTAGGCATCGCCAGTTGGAAGGGATTTCAACTGTAGCTCAGCAGTTCCATGAAACCTTAGAACCGTTGGTTGAATGGCTAGCAACTACTGAAAAGAAGCTTTCCAATTCAGAGCCCATTGGCACCCAGGCTTCCAAACTGCAACAACAGATTTCTCAACATAAAGTAAGACCTTAAGGGGCAGCCTCTTGGAGTTATTTTTATAACTTCCTCATTCAGAAGAATTGGAAATTCCTTCTCTACCTTCTTGCCTGAGTTTTTTTAAAAATACATTTCTATATCACTCAAATTGTTTCATTCATTTTGCTTTTTTATTTAGTTGCGCCCATATTTGTTTACATGATTTTGTTAAACTTTCTTTTCAATTTTTTTTTCCTTTCCGCTGCTTTGAAAATTCCGTTTAGACTTTAGAGGAAGACATCACCATTCACAATAAAAATCTACAGCAAGCAATTAATATCGGTCAAATTTTAAACACATTGTGCTCCAGGGAAGATAAAGAGATGGTTCAAGAGAAATTAGATTCTTCAGAAGGCCGATACATTGAGGTTCAAGAAAAAAGCAAAAGTAGGGCTGAGCTCCTGAAACAAGCCTATTGCAATGCTCAGATTTTTGGAGAAGATGAGGTTGAATTGATGAACTGGTTGAATGAAGTCCATGAGAAACTAAGCAAATTGGGAGTTCAAGACTACAGTACTGATTTACTAGAGAAACAGCACGCTGAAATGCTGGTATTTGCCATTATTTTCTGTTATTTTTTTAATTTACCATCATTAATCATATTATTAACAATTTATTTTATTAATTTTCTTATAACTGAAGCTTGCATAATGTTTATTTCTTTTAGTTACCTCATGAACTTTTTTTTTTATTTCCCATGAAGAAAGAAATGAGTGCATTATTCTTTATAAAATGGAAGAACTTTTAGTGATGACTTCTTTGGTGTGTTTAGATGCTGTTGCCTTTTCTCCCTCATTCTCCATGTTCTTAAATCATTAAATTTCCTAGGTTCTTCAAGAAGAGATTAAGGTCAGAAAAGATAATGTTGATCAAGCTATTCAAAATGGTTTACTGCTTCTTAAACAAACTACAGGTGAGAATGATTTATATCAGTGGCAACTGAAACAACATCTTTTTACTTAGTTTTTTTATACTATAAAAGTAACTTTTTCCAGAATAAATGTGCCAAAAATTTATAGTTAAGGTACCAATTTTTTAAAAAAATGGCTTGGATTCATATTGACAGCTGGTTATAACAATATGGTTGAGAACATAAATTATGAGTTGGCAATCTTTTTCATTTGGAAAATTAATTTCTGTACTTAAAAAAAGTAAATATTTGAACTAGTGATATCAAAAGGATTTTAAAAGGGATCTTTGGAGAATTAATACAGTTACAGTTAAGGTGAATAAACTGTACCAAATTTCATTCTATGTTGCATGTGTATTGTTTACAGTAGCGGTTCCCAACCTTTTCTATAAACTGCACCACTAGAATGCTTCTGATACATTCTCGCACTCCTTAACAAAAGTTTGAAATAACAGCAACCCCCTAGAATATCATCTTGCACCCCCAGGGCACCCCTAGTTGGGAACCCCTGGTTTACAGGAACAAGAAGGCAGGGATAATAAATAAATGAAAATCTAGTCATTGCTCATGGCTTTCTTATGCTCCAAAGCCATAAAATATAGCTTCAAGGAGTGGAAAGGTGATGATAAATCCTTTTTGATCATCTTGTCCTGATGCGATGTTGGGCTAGGATTATAAATACCAGAATGCCTGCCAGGAAACCAACATTCCACCCTCTCCATGCTACTCAGACTAGCATTTGTTGTTTGTGTCTTTGTTTTAGTCTTGACAAAAGTAAATGTTCTGTCAGTGAAAATGTCCACTATAGTCGTTGTCAGGAAAATTTGTGGAGGTTTCTTTTTGTAACCACTAACATTTTTCAGTGTCATAAGTAATTGATGGAAACATTTTAAAATGTTTAGCCTTTTTCTAAGCAAACAATTAGATGGCTATTGCTGCATGGTTTTTGGTAATTATTTGGAAGAAGCGTTTTGGACTCACTACTTTTGTAATAGAGGGCCAGCCTTTTTTCAATCCCCCGTGGAATTTTAGCAGCCTGCAGAGTTTTAGTTATTTTCCATTTATAGTTTCAATATATGTGATCCTGGAAATACTGATTATATTTGTCATGTTTGGTATTTTTAAATTATTGCTATTATAAATCACAGTTATGAATGGAGTTATATATCCATTTAGATATCAACCAATAATTTAATCTGTAGATCAGTTGCATTAGTGTTTATCCCAGCAGTCTTTTTCTTTTCCCACTTTTTCTGGAGGAGAGCTAAGTAGATGATAGTGATAGTGAATGTTGTTGTAAGGTTAAAAATGACTATATTTTTTTAATTGATGAACAGGACCACATCCTCTGTATTAGAGATAGTACTGTGGAAAAATTGCATTCCAAATGCACATAGCACATCTGGTTTAGAAGGCAACATCTTGTGAATTTTCTAGACTTTATGAAGTTTCCCGAGCATAATAATTTGAGTCTGAGAAGGGCAAGATTTCAGACTTAATGTTAACTAGATGAGACACACATATCTATATATGTATAGATATAGATATTTAAAACCAAATAAATAAACGTGAGCACCAGGGAATGCTATAAAATTTTAATAAAAATTTTAATAAAACGCCTAGCTTTCGGCAGCTCCCGACGTCATCAGGGCTCAAGATGCCGGTCAGTAGGAGAGTCCCTTTATAGGTTGACTAGGGTCTGCACCCGGCTCTTAGATCTCGTCACCGGGCCTGATGAAATAGACTGTGTTCCGGTTGTGCAGACCCTAGTCAACCTATAAAGGGACTCTCCTACTGACCGGCATCTTGAGCCCTGATGATGTCGGCAGACGCCGATGAAAGCTAGGTGTTTTATTAAAAATTTTATTAAAATTTTATAGCGTTCCCTGGTGCTCACGTTTATTTATTTGGTTTTAAATATGGATATACCCAGGGATCATATTTTTAGTGTAATTATCAAGAGAGAGAGAGAGAGAGAGAGAGAGAGAGAGAGAGAGAGAGAGAGAGAGAGAGAGAGAGAGAGAGAGAGAGATGCATTTATCACTTCCATCTGTTTTATTCCATTGAATTAATTTGCAATGAGTTACTTGGTTACAATATAACAGTGCTGACATTTTTTGGAAGAGTTGAATTAATCACTATAAACTACTATGGGCACATTAGGAGCAATAGGATTAAGGTTGACTTGGGCCTGTAAACTCTTCCCCAGATATTTTACAATAGACCCCCTACGTAGTCCTCTGTTTTGAAGGACTAGATCAGGGGTGTCAAACTCAATTTCATTGAGGGCCGTATCAGCATTGCAGTTGCCCTCAGGGGGCCAGGTGGGTGTGGCCAGGGTGGGTGCAGCCTACTGGGTGGGCGTGGATGGAGTGGGTGTGGCCTACTGGGCGGGTATGACCAGCTATACATCGTTTGCGTCAAGGGTGTCTGTGGGGGCCTGGGCAGGAGTGGACAGATATGAGGGTCTCTGGCAGAAGGGGGTGGGACCAGGGCAAGTGCCAAGGCATGGTCCACTGGAGGAGCCTCACTGTTCCATTCAGGCCATGCAGGGGGGGGGGCTTATGGAGCTAAGACTGAATACATTTCAGCATAGATGGCCACCACAAAATTGTACATTGGCTCTCAGCTGGCCTGGGCCAGGGCCAAGGCAGAGAGGGCCGTTCCCTCACTGTTTCCAGGATGGCTTCGCAGCCACATGAAACCAGTTCGCGGGCCGCATCCGGCCCCTGGGCTTTGTGTTTGACATGTCTGGACTAGATCTATATATCCAATCTTAATAGTGCTTAATAGTGAGTTCTGTCATGTCCTGGATGTATATTGAACAATAAAAATTAAACTCTTTTTACTCTTCTGTTGTCAAATTATGCAAATCAGGGCTTTGGAAAGGATCAGGGCATGTTAAAAAACGTTCCTCCAAGTTTTAGCCAGTCATATTCAGAACTAGCCAGGCTATAGGATAATCTTGTTTGTTCCAGGATTATCAGAAATATATTTTTATGAAAATACATTCGAAACCGGTTAAAAATAAAACGTGGGTGTCTAAAGTACTCCCATATATCTATCAAAATAATCCTGGAGTTTGGTGCATCCAAAATAAGTAAAGCCATTTAAAAACTAAATCCTAGGAATATTTCCTGATGGTTGTATATGATTTGCCTATAAATTGTATTATTTGTTTCAATGATCACGTACCTGTTTATTTAACAGGCACGCATGCTTGATTTTGAATATTTTCTGATACACATTCAAGATCCAGCATGTTTGTCCAGTAATACGAGAGCAATTCAGAAATAAACCTCCTTTTCGTTATCAATGACAGACACTCGCAGATACAGAAAATTTATTATACACCTTAGAAAACTACAACATTACATTACTTTTTGACATAATCGCTATTCAGATTGGGCCACTTGTCATACATAACGTCTTACAAGGTTTGAAATTCCTTCTGCAAAAAAATCTCCCTGGGAATGAAGCCACCCTGTAACAGCATCGTGAACCACATTGTCATTCGTTGAAGCAGTGCAACGTAAACCAGTATTTCATGTGTCTGAAAAGGTGGTAGTTGCTTGGCACCAAATCTGGGCTATGGGGAGGGGGGGTGATCAAAAACATCCCAACAGAGCTGCTTCGAAAGTTCTTGTGTGCTTCTAGCGGTGTGCAGGCGAGCATTATCGTGAACCAACACCACACCGGACGCTTGCAGATATCGAGACCTGACGGACTTCATGGACCTTTTTGTCAGTTTCTGCATGAGTTCATTGTTGACTACAGATGGGCTTGCTTCATCGTGCACGTCACTTCGTCCATCTTTAAACATGCGACACCATTGATGTATGACACCTTCACTCATCACATTTGGTCTGTAAACATTACACAGTTTGCGATGAATTGCAACTGCCGAAAGTTTTTTGGCACACAGGAATTGCATTACTGCATACACTTCACATTTGGCGGGATTTTCTGTGACAGGGTTTATTTTCAATTCATCTAGTGCAGTGTTTCCCAAAGTTGACAATTTTAAGGCATATGGACTTCAACTCCCAGAATTCCACAGCCAGCAACGCTGGCTGTGGAATTCTGGGAGTTGAAGTCCTCATGCCTTAAAATTGTCAAGTTTGGGAAACACTGATCTAGCAGATGAGTCAACTGCCACACAACCTCCTTCCACTCCTCATTGCCTACTGAACTACTGGCACGGCGCCATAGGCCGGGCGTCACCATCCCTGCCTATTTCTCACACATGCTCAAATGGAGGTTTATTTCCGAATTGCCCTTGTAGTTTGGGACATTTGATGTTCATCTGAAGAATATATTTGCCAGAATAAGAGCCCTAGTATTTGGAACCAACAAAAATAATGAGAGACTAACATGGCAAGATCCTTAATTTACAGTATTTCCTTACAAAATGTCTTAATTAGACAGCCTTTTTTTCTAAATCAAAAGGCTGATGCATTGCACAATTCAACAAGAACTTCTTTGTGAATTCTGCTGTGCTGAATGTTGCCAATATTTGAACAGAATTTTTATAGAATTAATTTTCAATGAACTAAGTCTCTGGATATTAAATGTTCTCAGAGAAAAAATGAATTTCCTAAATAATTTGCTGTGGGTTTTGGTTATATGTTGATTCTTGCAGGTCAACAGGTCTTTGGGTTATTTCGGTCAATTGTAGGTCAAGAGGTCTTTAGGTTATATAGGTCTAACATTTTCAAGGAAATGATGTTAGCTTATTGGACAAATCATCTCTTGGTATGTTGATCAGATTTCAGTCTGAATCAAAATAAAAAGTGCCATCATCTGTATATATTCTATATATTCTGAGATATATAGGACCTATATATATATATATATATATATATATATATATATATATATGTGTGTGTGTGTGTGTGTGTGTGTGTGTGTGTGTGTGTGTGTTTTCTGAGGTTTTCGCGGGTATTTGTATATAGGTCTTTGGTTGTTCGGGTTTTCTCCCGCGTAAAATTGGAAGTGTCTTGGCAACGTTTCGACGAAGTCACATTCGTCATCTTCAGGCTGGTGTTTTTAGCTTCTTGCTTTGAGCAGCAGTGTGTGGTTTTAGCTGTTTCTTCCTTTTAACTGCCAGTGAGGGTATGAACTGATTGGATGGGAGCTTGGCTGTGTTACACAGCCAAGCTCCCATCCAATCAGTTCATACCCTCACTGGCAGTTAAAAGGAAGAAACAGCTAAAACCACACATTGCTGCTCAAAGCAAGAAGCTAAAAACACCAGCCTGAAGATGACGAATGTGACTTCGTCGAAACGTTGCCAAGACACTTCCAATTTTACGCGGGAGAAAACCCGAACAACCAAAGACCTATATATATATATATATATATATATATTTACCTTGAATGAACACCCTGTCAGCCCAAATATGGGAGAAAGAAATCTTCTTTCTTTTCTTTTCTTTTGCCTGTATCAGCTCAATCTAGAGCCATCCACAAGCAGCAGTCGCCAACTGCGACATCATTTTACATTTTTAGGTTGCTAACAAAGAATAAAGAGAGAATGGTATAGCTATTTCGACCTTTAACTCTCTTCAGCCAAACTTACTCTTTTGAGATTCGAACCTGGGCTATCTGCATGTTAGGCAGTTGTTATAACCTCTCTCTCTATATATATATCAGAATATATAGAATATATATACATCAAAGGATCTATTTAATTAAATTTAATAAATTTAATAATTTTCTGGTTATAATACTTTCAGTAGAAGTTAGTACATTAACTCCCTGTAGCTAGTCAGTTTTGGCAGAAAGTTAAACAGCAGAGGCTGTGATTAGTATGTGGATTGGGAACTATTCCAGAACTGTAAATTAAACTGGGAAGTAAAAAAAAAAAAAAAAACATCCTGGAAAGATGCTCTATGATGTGTCCATGTAAGTTACAATAACTGAGCTCAGTCTTAAGGCAACTTTACTTTGCTGGCTTTTATGTATTTTATTTTATTTTATTATATTCTAAATATAGTTTATAAATCTGCCCCAAACTATAAATTATTAAAAAATAAATAGGAGTCTTATTCATTTTTGCAATCAGTAACTTGATGATTTGAGGATTTTTTTGGGCAATAATATTCTTTTCAAATTTTAGGAGATGAAATTGTTGTAATTCAAGATAAATTGGAAGGCATCAAAGCAAGGTACAAGGATATCACTAACCTGAGTTCTGAGGTGTTCAAGACTTTAGAAGAAGCTCTTCAGTTTTCAGGGCAGCTCCAGTCAGTTCACAAAGAACTCTGTTCTTGGCTTGACAAAGTTGAAGTCGAATTACTTTCATACAACTCTCAAGATCCCAAAGGCAAAGAACTAAGCGAAACACAAGAAAGACAAAAAGTGAGTATCAAGCTAGAAAATAAAGATTGACTTCACACTTTGCTATTTGATTTTTGGCTTAATCTATTGTATGCACAAGGTCATTGTGGTTTGTATACTATATGTGTTATGAAAAATCAGCCAGTTGAAGTTGGCTGATAAACTCTTTGCTATAACTTGGCTAGCCATATACATGTAATAAAGTTTTCAGTAAAGCCACTTAAATGAATCATTTTATAAAGGGGAAAATGCAATAATTTAACATACAAGCTATCCAATTGCAAACCACACTATGCTTTTACTAAATACATCTATTTAAGAAATTATTCCATAATAAGATAAACTCTTTTTTATTGCTCAACTGCTGAAAGTTTGTTTGAAGATGAATCCAGTGTCTACATTTTTGAAGATATACTAGAATTTGATTTCTATTTGACATCATTGCCATTATAGTTATTTATTTTACTGGCAGGAGAGGTAAATGGATTATAAATTGCAAGTGACAGACTAGAATTCTTCATATTACTTTCTTGATTACATGTGGACTATGGTAAATTGCCCAGCGAACCCCCAGAACGTATTCAAATCATATTTTGACCAAGCTTCCCTTTAGGAATTAACAAAAGTAAAGATAATTGAAATTACCTTTACTTTTCCCATGTGCAGCTTCTTATTTGTAATAAATCTTTTCATAACTTTGTTATTTCTTGATAGATATGTTCATCAAGTTGGTGTTAATAAGAGTTCGTGTTAACCCTTATTGACCACATAGATCAGAGTCTCCAAAGTGGATATTATCTACACCCAAGGATTTATGGAACAATCCATTATTGTGATTTATTATTATTATCCATAGTATTATTAGTTAAAGTAGTATTTATTAAATTATTTTCATGTAATAAAAATTTGGGGTTGATGAACATCTTGAAACTTCATGAAGGGGTTAGCGAGGCCTGACATACTGTAGATTAAACCTTCTCCAGAATGATCTGTCCTCACCTGATTCTTCAGGTTTTCCATTGGTTCACACACCACCTCTATAATTGAGTCCACCAATGGCTGCTGGTCATTCTCTTTCCTTCCACTTTTCCCAGTATTAAAGACTTCACTAGAGAGTTAGGTCTTGACATAGTGTGTCCAAACTATTTAAGCGTGGTTATTTGAGCCTCAAATGAGAACTCTTGATTAATTTGTTCAATGATCCATTTCTTTGTTTTCTGGACCATTCAAGGTATTCTCAGGAGTTTCCTCTAACACTGTTGTAAAAAAAAAAAAAAAAGCTCTTTCCAGTGCTTGTTTTGTAAAAACAACAACAACAAAAAAAAGGTGCTGGAACTCACAGACGTCATACAACCCGCCTTGCCTACAAGGTTCCATCCAAAAAAGGTGCCAGAACTCTGTTCTGGGCATTCTATGACAAAAAAAGCCCTGGCTCTTTCTATCCTGTTTTCAAACTCCAACTTTCATTTCCACAGACTCTCATAAGAAAAACTATTACTGCACCAGTCTGATCTTTTTAGGTATAGACATGTCATGTTACCTGAATATCTTTTCCTGGGCCTTCATTACTATAGTACCAAGTACTAATTACAATGTATAGTATTTCTTGTCTGTTATTTCTTTATTAAGAACAGTCAATTCTAAAAGATAGAAGCTACTTACATCTTCGGTATTTTCATTATCAGTTCCAAGGCTGTCCCTGTTGTCATTATTTGGTCTTGGTATATTGATTAAGGTAGTGGTCCAGAAACAAAAGTATTCTAGATCTCTCTGAGGCATGCAAGCTGGCTCGGTGGCTTTGGGTAAGACACTCTTTTCAGCCAAACACACCCTACAGGATGGGGAACATTGGAGATATATATGTTTATTGTCTTTGTGTGGATGCATACACAAGACAATAAACATACATGAATAATAAGAAAACATTAGAAAACATTATAAAATATTGGAGCTTGCAAATTGAATTTGAACACTTTATGGAAAAAGAAATCTATCAAACCAATCGTGACTGAAGCCATTGGAGCAATATGCAATGGACATTCTTGATATCTGGAAACATTTTGTTTATCAGACATGAACACCAGAATTTTACAAAAAAAACCACCTTGTTTGGAACTGCCTATATTTTAGACGTTTCCTTAATAATTCTTAGGATCTTTGTTCAGCCTTGAATTATTAAATTTCCACCAATCTTAGACTGTGAATCTAACTGTAGATTACACACACATAATAATAATTCTTGACTTCAGTTAGCTGACCTTGCAGATCATTTGCATTTTCAGTATCAGATGCAGCATCATCAGCATAATGCTGATTATTAATGTTTCCTCCAGCATCCCTAAACATATATTCAGCATATAATCTTTCTCATGGTATTGTTAAAAAAATGAAGGGAAGAGAATCACATAGATTATTGCCAGTGTGTTTACCTCAAATATTCTTTTTTAGGAACTGAAAAAAGAAGTAAAAGATAAGAAAAGTTTATTGGATAATCTCAATGAAGTCAGTAGTGCTTTGTTGGAACTGGTGCCATGGAGAGCAAGGGAAGGGATAGATAAAATGGTTACAGAAGACAATGAACGATACCGGTTAATGAGTGACACTTTAAATCAAAAAGTGGAAGAAATTGATGCTGCAATTTTAAGATCACAACAGGTAAAAGTAATATTGTTTTAATCTTCTGTAGCCAGAATAATATGTGTTTTTATCAGGTTTGCACTATACACACACAAACACACACAGGCCAGTTCATTCACCTGGGAATTCATGTCAAAATAAAAATGTTTTGTTCATTTTACTGTACTCTACTTGCACACATTGGCTCTATTATTCAAGAACTGGGGCTCATCTTGAGGAGGAGGAGGGGACCCTGGCCTTAATTTTCAGACATGAATCTTAGAACAAAGCAAATCCTGTCATTCTCAGAGCCATCTGTCTCCTGATTGATGCAAAAATTTCAGATCAGCTTCATACTGGGAAGCTTCTTAGTGCATTGAACTAAGTAAGAATTTCACCAGAACAAAGGATTAAATCTTAAATCCTTTTATCGCCTGCAGTTTATGGTGCTTGATAGGATCAAATGCAAGGTTGTATAAGTGATGAAAAACTGGTAGGTGTAGGTTCCCATGAACGATAAATGTTATTCTTATTGCATATGGCATTAAAGTGAGTTTCATGTTCACATCAGGATGTTTGTAGCATAATTTTTTTTGTATATCTGTGTGTGTGATTTTAAAGATCAGATTTACTAGCCCTTTAATTTAGCATGACTCAATTCAAATGCCTCTATTTAAAGCAGAGTGTTCAGGCCAAGTATATATGCTCTGATTATAGTTGTAAAAAGGCAGTGAATATTTGTGGCCTGTTTCAAATAGATTAAACAGTATGATAAAGAATTACTCATGGGAGAGTCTTCGGGCCACATAATTTACTTTTCAGCTATGATTCATAATTAAAGAGCAAGTTATGATAGCTTATTCATTAATTTCACTTTAAGTCTGGCAACACTCTTGATCCTCAGCTGTCCCTGGATTCTAAGGTGGACAGCTGTGACAAGAAACATCTTTGCACAATTGTGTCTGGCGTGCCAGTTTGTTCCAAAGCCAGTCAAATTTAGCAACAGTTGTATCTTGATTATGGTAGTGCTGTATGTGTAGGGTGACCCTATTAAAAAAAAAAAAGGCAAAACTGAAAAAGGAAGAAATCTTTTGGATTAAAAAAATGTTTGTTTTCAGCTTTGTTTTACAAAGGAAAACTCAAGAGCAACACCAAGAAAAAATTCATAAAAATGCACATTCTAATAAAAATATCTAAAATAAAAGTATATATACATTTTAGAAACACAATTCACTGCCCATATTTTTCACATTCCATGAATGCAAGAATGTGTGTTAAGTAGTACCATTTGTATAGAAAAAGTTACATGGCCAAAATAAAAGACAAAAGTGGGTTTTTGAAAAAATAAATCTAAAGACAGCTTTCTGAAATAAAGGGCTGTGCTTTATAATAAAAGGGCTAGCCTTGAATCAGATCTAGAAGCTGCCTTTGTGCAAAATGGGGCAGTAAGGCTATTAAACAATGTACTGATCCCTGTAAGAGCTGTCTCTACTGGCTGTCAGCTGTTTATGGGGCACAGTTTAAAGCAGTGTTTCTCAACCTTGACAATTTTAAGGCATGTGGACTTCAACTCCCAGAATTCCACAGCCAGCAGTGCTGGCTGTGGAATTCTGGGAGTTGAAGTCCACATGCCTTAAAATTGTCAAGGTTGAGAAACACTGCTTTAAAGTGTTCCTTTTTATGGCTTCACACCTGATTATCTAAGGAGCAGCCTTTCCCAGTACAAACCTGTCTGATAGATTTCAGAAGAGGCTGGACTTAAAGATGCCTCCTGAATTGGTGCCACACTGTGCAATGCATTCCCTAAGGAGTTGTGTTTGGCTTCCACAAGCTCAGTGTGTAATCTGTAAAATCTGTAAAAATACATCTCTTTTGCCATGGTCTCAATTGTTAGAAGCATCCTGTTTTCACTTTAATCTACATCTTTTAGCACTTTAAAATATGAATTGTGGTGGTGCAATAGCTGGTATGCAGTATTGCAGGCTAACTCTGCTGACTGCGAGGAGTTCAATCTTGACTGGCTCAAGGTTGACTCAGCTTTCCATCCTTCCAAGGTCAGAAAATTAGGAGCCAGATTGTTGGGGGCAATAGGCTGACAATGTAAACGCTCAGAGGTGCTGTAAAGTACTATGGAACCATATATAAGTCTAAGTGCTATTGCTACATTCTGTTTTGTTTTAAATTTCATCAGCTACTTTTAAGTGTGATAGTTAATATTCTAACTGTGAGATTAATGATACAATAGTGACTTTGGAGAAACAAACATACTTTTGTAAGATAATTTAGATTCATACAATACTTTATGGTCAATTCTGGAGAACATAAAACAAGCATGATTAGCAAGGACCTCTGTCTAAAAGGCATAAAGCAGAGCAGAGCAAAACAACAGAACAGAACAGAACAGAATAGAATAACAGAGTTGGAAGGGACTTTGGAGGTCTTTTAGTCCAACCCCCTACTCAGGCAGCCGACTGACCTTGTTGGCTTCACTCCAAATTCTGTTGCATCTCCCTATCTTTTTCTCCAAATCTGGAATAGGAAGAGCTCTTAAGCTCCAGATGAACAGCTAATCAGTAGGTCCACTACAGAAGATGGCAAGGAAGTAACAAGCAATAGGGAGAAAGCAGAGCTGCTTAACTCATTCTTCGCATCAGTCTTCACACACAAAAAAATTATAGCACAACATACCAAAAAAAAAAAAAAATACTGCAAATGACAAACTAGAAACAAAAATTAAAATAAGCAAGAAAATGGTAAGAGAACACCTATCCGATCTTGATGAATATAAATCACCAGGACCGGACAGATTACATCCCAGAGTTCTGAAGGAGCTGGCAGATGTTATCTCAGAATCATTGCATCGTATCTTTCAAAAATCCTGCAGCACCGGGGAAGTTCCTGAGGATTGGAAAAGGGCTGATGTGGTTCCCATCTTCAAGAAAGGGGGGAAAAAAAAAAAAAAACAGATGCAGGAAACTACAGACAAATCAGTCTAACATCGATACCTTGGAAGATCCTGGAAAAGATAATCAAAAAATAGATCTGCAAACAATTAGAAGCAAACAAAGTTATAACTGATAGCCAGCACGGGTTTGTTAAAAATAGATCATACCAAACCAATGTTATTTCATTCTTTGATAAAGTGATCAAATTAGTAGAACAGCAAAATGTTGTGGACGTAGTATACTTAGGTTTCAGTAAGGCATTCGACAAAGTAGACCACAATATACTGCTTGGTAAGCTAGCAAAAGGTGGAATAGACAACATCACCACCAGGTGGATTTGTAGGTAGCTGACAAACTGTACTCAATGAGTATCCTCAATGGTACTACATCCACATGAAGAGAAGTAAGCAATGGGGTACCACAAGGCTCCGTCTTAGGCCCAGCACTCTTCAATATTTTCATCAATGACTTAGATGAGGGAATAGAAGGGAAACTCATCAAATTTGCAGATGACACTAAACTGGCAGGAATAGCCAACATCCCAGAAGACAAGCTCAGGATTCAAAAAGATCTTGATAAACTTGAACAATGGGCTCTATCCAACAAAATGAGTTTTAATGTGGAGAAAAGCAAAGTTTTACATTTAGGCAGGAAAAATCAAAGATATAAGTACAGATTAGGTAAGACCCGGCTCAAAAACAGTAACTGTGAGAGGGACCTTGGAGTCCTAATGGATGATCACTTACCCATGAGCCAGCAATGTGCAACAGTAGCCAAAAATGCTAATACAGTCCTGGGTTGTATAAATAGAGGCATAGAATCAAGATCATGCGAAGTATTTGTACCACTTTATAAAGCCCTAGTGAGACCACACCTGGAATACTGCAACCAATTTTGGTCACCATGCTGCAAAAAAGATGTTGAGACCTTGGAAAAAGTTCAGAGAAGAGCAGCTACGATGATCCAAGGCCTGGAGACTTAAAACAGATGAAGAACAGCTGCAGGACTTGGGTTTGGCTAGTCTAAAGAAAAGAAGAAATAGGGGCGACCTGATAGCAGTATTCCAGTATTTGAGAGGCTGCCACAAAGAAGAGGGAGTCAAATTGTTCTCCAGAGCACTAGAGGGCAGGACAAGAAACAGTGGTTGGAAACTGATCAAAGAGAGAAGCAACCTGGAATTAAGGAGAAACTTCCTAACAATGAGGACAATTAACCAGTGGAACAGCTGGCCTTCAGAAATCGTGGGCACTCCATCACTGGAGGTTTTAAAGAAGAGACTAGATAGTCACTTGTCTGAGATGGTATAGATAAGATAACCTTTATTGTCATTTTTTTTTTTTACTGTGGGCACAACGGTACACATCAAAAATGAAATTTAGTTGCCCGCTCTCAAAGTGAAACACATACATGACACACACCTAAACATACTATATACAGCTTATGTACAGACCCACACCCCTACATATACATAACAAATAAATATTAAATATAGGTTCTCCTTGAGTGGGGAGCTGGACTAGAAGATCTCCAAGGTCCCTTCCAGCTCTATTCTATTCTAATCAAACATTAGAGCTTTTCCTAGCTCTCAGGAAAATTGACATGCAGAGATAAGGGAGGAAAAGTTTCAGCTGGGGAGGGAGACAGTACCTTTACCTTTTCTGATGCTGCAACTTTCCCCCTTGAAATGTTGCCTGTTAAAAACATTAACTTGGGGGAAGAGGGCACACCGCTGGCAAAGGAAACTCATCTCCCCCAACACTGTGTTCTCCCCCATTGACAGTTTGCTTGCTGATCCTGCAAATAGCAATAGCACTTAGACTTATATACCGCTTCATAGTGCTTTACAGCCCTCTCTAAGCAGTTTTACAGAGTCAGCCTATTGCCCCCAACAATCTGGGTCCTCATTTTACTGACTTCAGAAGGGTGGAAGGCTGAGTTAACCTTGAACCCATCAGAATCAAACTGCTGGCAGTCAGCAGAGTTAGCCTGAAAAACTGCATTCTAACCACTGTGCCACCAAGGCAGTAGGCATTAAAACAGCTATTCCCAGTGTCAACAAACACAGTTTTAAATCCTAGTTGTGAAGAGTCTTTTCTGAATTATGGTCTACAAATGAAAGTTGTAAATGTGATTGGATTGTATGGGTATCACTAAAGGCAAATACATTAGGGACCACCTCCTCACAATGGAGAGTAGCCGCTGCTGATAATGCAATTTTTGGCATAATTGCCCAGTATTATTTTGGCCTGAAATCAGTTCTTCCTGCTCTGCACAGTCCTGCTCTGAAGGCTATGTGTGCTTCCAGACAGACAAATATCACTTTTTGTCTCATAATATGGTAATAGTACTGAAGCTTGCTCCATATAGGTATGGATTCAATTAATCTACGTAAGTGAGGTAGTTGAATTGAGTCTAAATGGTTCTCTAGAGCTTTCCCTCATTGAGAAGGCAAGGGTGCATCTGTAGATATGGAAGGACAGTGGGTGTGGATTTTCTTCCTCTTTCCATTCAATAATGAACGCAGGGAAAAGAATGCTTGAAGGAATTATTCTGTCCAGACAATCACCAGAGTACTTATAAAGGAGGTACATATGACACAACTGGATTGGCATTTTGCTTGCATTAGGAAGGAGGAGCATTTGCTTTTAAATAATGCTGTTAAATAATAGAACCTATATTAAAGCAAGAGAGTAATCTTAAAAATGGACAACAGCAAGACATAGATAGAATAGTCTTGCGCTAACTGTGTTAGTTTCCTAAACTTCTGGACAGTTCCGTTTTATTTTAAGTCAAGAAATCTCAGAATCACTAAGGAACAAAAATGACAAAGGACATGATATAGCTACTTTGAGATCTCTTGAGTTTACTAAAATAAAAATAAACTGTCCAAATGTTACAGGAAGCTAACATATTTAGCACAAATTTATTCTATGATTAGCACTGAACCTTGCAGCTATCTGGAAAGTCTTTATTCCCCCCTCCCCTCAAAAAAACTACAAAGAGAGATTTTAACGTAGAACTGAGTCCGTGATTATAAGCAGATTTCTGCTGACATTCAGCTGAACACAAGTGGTGACTTATTTCAGTCTGTAAAATAAATGCAGAAGAAACTAGGAAGTGAGCCCACAGGCACAATCCCAGCTCCCACCCCCCCCCCCCCCCGTTGGATTGTAAGTAGAGTTTTATTGCAGATTACTCTCTTATTCTACATTAGTGCAACTTTTCATGGAAATTCACAGCTTCTTGCATTTCATGGACTTTGATCTTTAATGCTTGCTGATTTCCACCATTACATGCTTCTAAGTGCATGCGTGTGATACCCGATATCAATTGAAGAGCATCCCTTCAAGCATCAGATAGAATAGACTTATACTGTACAAAAAGCTTACAGAACAGTAAACCTGTTCATTTGGAAAATATTAAAAACTATTTCATATTTGCTGTAATAGGCAAAAAGTAGCACACTCAATAATCTAGACACCATTTTTCATAAATCCCTGAACAGTAAATATGGATTGGCCATAGCTATTTGAGATGGAGTAGTTTGTAACTGGATTTCGATGAGTGTACTTTTAGGTTTCTTTTATCTAAAAGCTAACATTTCAGTTTTTTTAATAACTGCTTTTTGTTGGCCCTTGTTTAGTTCGATCAGGCAGCTAATAATGAATTAGCCTGGGTTGACAAAACAGAAAAGAAACTGATCTCTCTGGGTGACATAAGACTTGAACAGGACCAGACCTTTGCTCAGCTGCAAGTTCAAAAGGTAAACAGACTCCATTTGTGAGGTGTTAAATCAATTCTCATTATAAATTTGATATTATTTATATTGTATATGCTAATGGTCAGTGTCCTGCTACTCTTAATAGCAATTTGTTATATGACTAGGGATTTACCATGGAGATTTTGAAACACAAAGATACAATAGAAGAACTTGTTTCATCTGGGGATGAGATCATGAAGACATGTACAGAGGAGGAGAAACAAATTATAAAGGTAATAAGGCATTGCTTGCACTTATTTGGTAATGAATCTGATTATCTAAACACAGATCTAATTTTTAAAGCTTGTGAAGCAATTGTTACTCATATGCAACAGTTAGTGCTCATCTTCTATGTTTTAGGGGGCCCACAGACATAGTCACCTTGATAGGGTGAAAAACAAAAAAATATAATTGAATAATATACATGAACTTTCTTAGTAATGGTTACAATGAATGTACTGGTTTCTTGTAGAAAATCCATCCATACTTTATTCGTTGAGTGCATAGTTAAGGTATATTCTTTCAGCATAATTCTTCTTGGAGTATTCCAGCTGGTGTGAAAATGCAGTTGATTTTCACTTATTCCTATCTGCGGTGCCATCTCCTACACTGTGGAACCCATGGCCCTTTAGATTAGACATTTGAAGGAAATGGGAATTGCAGAGAGGACCTGGTTTTTAAAAAATGCAGTCTTCTCTGATTTATTATTGGAAATGCTCTGCTGAATATAAAGTCTTCTGGGCATAGAAGAAACTCTTTGGTCCAGAGTAAAGTTTAAGCTAAGGTTGGTTTCAGGAAGTTTGCCTAGACCCGTTTACAGAATAGCCTTTCACAAAAAAGGGCTGCCTGTTCATCTCCTATCCAGGATCTCATTACAGTTTTTCTTTAATCTTGTGGTTATTTCTGATGGAGAATACTTCCTAGTTGTGCTTCCTTCTTATCCATCCTTAGCTCTCTGTTTGTTTGTTTGTTTGTTTGTTTTTGTTTGTTGTTTGTTTTAATGAAAATAAGATTACACACTTGTTGAGATGATAGATTTCTGTCTTAATTATATGTGTATTGAGTGTACCATTTTTCAGATTTGTTCTGCATAATTAGGTAAGAGAAATACCAGGATAGTTTGGTGTGTTTTTTTTGTTAAAAATAAGATTGGAAATTTTATTTATTTATTTTTTATTTATTTCATTAAATTTGTTTACTGTCCATCTCACCACAAGGTGACTAAAATAAGTGTGTCGCAATTTAAAAATCCCTCCAAAGTCCCCTCCCAAACTCAGCCAGTCCAATATTTGTGACCCTTAGCCCTTCAGCCACCCAAAAACTTGACAACTTCTAAATTACACTACCTTTTGTTTAAATGGTAGTGTAATTTAGTATAAAAATAAATTAAAGGTAGTGTAAAATATGATTTATAATGGTAGGACATTGATAACTATGATGATTTATAATGTGGGAGCATTCCTGCTATCAATCTCAGTTTGCTTAGATCTGCAATACTGTAGATGTCCTTTTGAAGATTCCACTGCCATCAGAGGCCAATCTGTTTCATATGGGCGAGAGGACCTTCTTAGACTAGGCAATGCACTCTAGTTTAAGGAGATGTATTTGGCCCCCAGGTATTTAGGAAAATAATGAAAGCCCATCTGTTTCACCAATTTTTAAATTGTGGATTGGATTTTCTCTCTTCTTAAGTTCTATAATTGTCAATTACTAAGCCATCTTCAGTGTTACAGAGCTAGAACAGCAGGCTATGAACTTGACAAATCAATAAATAATAGTGTCCAAATTGTTTGCCAAATTAAAATCTTGCAAAGCTGTTAGATCATGCTGTGGTTTCTTGATAACTTTGTTACAGAACAAACTGGAAAATCTTTTGCATAAATACGACTTGCTCTGTCAAATGAACTCCAAGAGAAACTTGCAACTAGAACGGGCTCAATCTCTAGTTAGCCAGTTTTGGGAGACTTATGAAGAGATTTGGCCTTGGCTAAGTGAAACCGAGATCGTCATCTCGCAGCTCCCAGCACCAGCTCTTGAATACGAAACTCTGAGGCAGCAGCAAGAAGACCACCGGGTAAGGTGTCTGTGGAGAGTCTCAATCATCCAGGTCCTGATTGTCCCAAAGGACAAGTCTTTGGGACAACATTGGCTCAGGTCGCAAGCATCTTTGAAAGTGCCATTAATTCCAGAAATCAAGTGCAATGCCCTATTCTTTTCATTATAAGAAATTATATAATTTTTAAAATACAGCTATGCAGTTTTTACACCTTTATTGTCTCTTTCTCTCTGATTTGCTACAAGTGGTCTTCAACTTATGACCACAATTGAGCCCAAAATTTCAGTGGCTAAACGAGACAGTTGTTAAGTGAGTTTTGCTCTATTTTATGACCATTCTCACCACAGTTATTAAGTGAATCACTGTAATTGCTAATACACAACACAATTGTTAAACGAATCTGACTTCCCCATTGACTTTGCTTATCAGAAGGTCATAAAAGGTGATCACATGACCCCAGGACATTGTAACCGTCAGAAATATGAGTCAGTTGCCAAATGTCTGAATTTTGATCACATGACCACGGGGATGCTGCAGTGGTCATAAGTGTGAAAAATGGTCATAAGCCACTTTTTTTCAGTGCTGCTGTAACTTTGAACAGTCACTAATGGTTGTAAGTCGAGGACTACCTGTACTGCTTTTGTACTTTTAATTTGTCACCTTCTAAAAAAATAAAATTTGGATTATATGCTTAATTTGAGATTATTTTCATCGGGCCATAGAAAGCCATTAGTAAGGACTGAATTTCATAATAGCAGTCTCCTGAAAAGAACTGGTATACTTCAGGACATTAACATAGTTATAAGCATATGATAATATATATGTTTTGTGTTTTTATAATGAAGATGAAAATAAAGGACTTAACAGATAAAATTCAGCTTTAGTCCTTCTTGGAATAAGTTAGAAACTGACAAGATTTAAGTTAGCACTTAATTTAAATAATTGGGAATCTCCTAAATAAATAAATCTGGATTTCATGGCATACTTCATTGCACTTAATTTTAAAAGTATACCAGGAAAACTAGTGCTTTGAACAACCAGATTATTTAAAAAAAAAAAAAGACTGGACTGGAAAGTATAGGCAGAAAACAGAATAACATAGAACAACTAATAAAAACATTCAGCCAGTTATCCAGCACTAGAAATGATTTATTAAGTACCAGCATTGTAAAAGTTCCCAAATTGTTTAAATATGACTAAAAATAGCTTGCTAGTGTTGAGTGCTATAACAAAACAGGCAAGTCAGATTTCTAAACTTGTTTTCCATTTTTATTCATAATGCATACACCCACAGAAAGTATGGGTGCCATATTTCTTTTTAAATGTACTGTAAGATGATTTCTCTCTCTTTATTCAGTTACAGGTGAAAGTAGTTTGGCTTTAGGCTGTGGTTAAATGCATACATCCAGTATGAATTACACTTTGGCCTTGTTTTTCCGAAGAGATGTTGAATTTGTAGCAGATATAGAAATCTAGAATGAGGCATAGTAAGGCTGAGATACTGACAGTATTTTGTTCTGTTACAGCAACTACGAGAGTTGATTGCTGAACATAAGCCTCACATAGATAAAATGAACAAAACTGGACCTCAACTCCTGGAGCTGAGCCCACAAGAGGGATTTTTAATCCAAGAGAAATATGTAGCAGCTGATGCTCTTTACAGTCAAATTAAAGAAGATGTCAGAAAGCGGGCCCAAGCACTGGATGAAGCCATTTCTCAATCGACTCAGGTATTTGGGAGGGTTTTTTTGTTATTGTTTGTTTGTTTGTTTATTTATTTATTTATTTATTTATTTATTTATGAGACTTATATACCGCTTTAAGTGCAAGCACTCTCGAAGCGGTGTACACCAGTAAGCAATGTATATATATATTTACATTGCCCCCAACAATCTGGGTCCTCATTTTACCTACCCCGGAAGGATGGAAGGCTGAGTCAACCTTGAGCCGGTAAGATTTGAACCGCTGACCTGCTGAACACAGTCAGCTAAAGTGGCCTGCAGTACTGCACTCTAACTGCTGCGCCATCTCGGCTTTATTTGTTTTTGTTTTTCTCCAGAAGGAGAGCAGATAATATTCCCTGCTAATTTATATCACTTTGTTTGCAGTATATATTCACCTTATCAGGAGTACAGGTCACCATATGCTAGGTGAATAAATCGCATCACGGTTACATAAACGTACTTTTCTTACCTGCTCAAGAATCAGAACCTCTGAGAAATTTGGTGTAAAAGAAGATAATCTGATTGTCTCAAAAAAAAGAAAAAAAAAGCTTGAGGATACTTTTGTGATAAATACTAAATATGTACTTCTTTTCAACTTATATAAATGTTTTATAACACAGGGCAGTGTGTTTTCACAGAACGTTGATCAACCTGTCAGCCCTCAGTCTATTCATGGACATACATGCATACTAACTAGCTTTATTGTTCAGTGAACTTTGGCTTAAGCGTGCTTGCCAACCACACATATCTTCAACATAAATCTACCCAAGACTAAAATAAAATGAATTCTCCAAGTGATATTTTTAAATGTTTTTGTAGGAACTCACTCTTTCTTGATACTAGAAAGCAATGATTTGTTGCATTCACTATAAATGGGCTGCAAATTAATTAAGAGGCTATTTCTAGACAAGGCGTTCATTGTGTAGTCCTCCCATTCCTGTTACAGAATTTTTGGCGGGGCTAAGAGATCTTCCGTTCATAATTCTGTGGGGTATTTTGTATAATATCTTCTGTCTTTTTTTTCCTTACACAAAAACCAGCAAAAGAGAAAAAGGTAATCGCTGCCCAGTGTCTTTGGGCTGGTGGCACTAAGGCCCATCTGATAGCATTTAGCTTAATTAACATCTGATAGCATTTAGCTTAAGTAACTAAGTACTGGCATCTACCCTTAAGAAATATCAAGAAGGAATCTCTCTCTTTCTCTCTGACTGACTTCATCCTGGCCAGAAACAGAGATTGCATTAGACAGCTCAGGGGTTATTTAAAAGTTCCATGTTTGATAAAACATAGTAACATTTAAATTAAATTTTCTGTTTAATAATTTAGACCAGCGGTCCCAATCTTTTTGGCTCCATGGACCTGGGGGGGGGGAATGATTTCACAAACACAATTTAATCCCGCAAATGCACAAATAAAGCTTTATGCACTTTCCTGCCACTTGTGGCTCAGGGGTTGGGGACCCCTGATTTAGAATACAATATTAGATATAAAATCATATTAATTGAGGATACTTTCACTAAAGCATGTTACCGAAGAATATTGATGCAATAAAAAATCTTTCCTAGTGATAAAATCATATCTAAAAATATGATTTGGGATTAATTAAATCTACATTAGATTGATACATTTATAAAATAATTGGCGGGCGGACAGAGATCGACCCGTAGGCGCCTCAATTATGGGGTGCCTCAGGGCTCGGTCCTGTCCCCCCTCCTTTTTAACATCTACATGAAACCGCTGGGTGAGATCAATCGGCGACACAGGGTGAGGTATCATCAGTATGCGGATGATACCCAATTGTATATCTCCACCCCGTGTCCTTTCAGTGAAGCAGTCGACGTGATGTGCCGGTGCCTGGAAGATGTGAGGGTCTGGATGGGGGTGAACAGGCTTAGACTCAACCCTGACAAGACCGAGTGGCTCTGGGTCTTGCCCCCCAAGGGTCATCCTGATGGTCCATCATTAGTCCTGGGGGGGGGGTAAATTTACCTCCCTCAGTGCAGGCACGCAACTTGGGTGTCCTCCTGGACTCACAGCTAAATTTGGAACAACATCTATCGGCTGTGGCCAGGGGGACCTTTGCCTAGGTTCGCCTGGTGCACCAGTTGCGGCCTTATTTGGACCGGGAGGCTCTACTCACGGTTACTCATGCCCTTGTCACCTCAAGACTGGATTACTGTAATGCGCTCTACATGGGGCTACCCTTGAAGAGTGTTCGGAGGCTGCAGTTGGTTCAGAATGCAGCCGCGAGAGCGATTGTGGGTGCACCAAGGTACACCCACGTGTCACCTATCCTCCGCGAGCTGCACTGGCTTCCTGTGGGTCTCCGGACGCAATTCAAGGTGTTGGTTATCACCTTTAAAGCCCTTCATGGCTTAGGACCAGGTTACTTACAGGACCGCATACTGCCGCATAGTTCCCAGAGACCGGTGAGGTCCCACAGATTGGGCCTCCTTCAGGTCCCGTCGGCCAGACAATGTCGGCTGGCAGGCCCTTGGGGAAGGGCCTTTTCTGTGGTGGCTCCGACATGGTGGAATCAACTTCCCCCTGAGATTCGAACTACTCCCACCTTGCCGGCCTTTAAGAAAGCCATTAAAACTCTCCTGTTCCGGCAGGTCTGGGGTTGATGTCCTAGGGGGGGCCGGGATACGATTGGGACATGCTATATGAATGCATTTATTTTTATTGTTATATTTATTGTTTTAATTTTGTATGCCGCCCTGAGTCCCTAGGGATTGGGTGGCATATAAATTTTATTAATAAATAAAAATGAATAAATAAATATTCCATTGATTTGCAGTCCTTACTGAATAGGGACAAACCCTCCAAAGATCAAACAGAAAAGAGAATAATTTTGTCTGAAAGTTTGTATTTTATGATTCTTTTCATCTTTGTAGAGAGCCTTTACATCTTAATAAGAGAGTAATTTGTAGAAATAATAGCTAGTCAGCATAGATACCTGATCATATAATTCTTTCTCTAGCGAAAGAAGGGGAAATTGGATGTGTGATTAAGTATCTACATGAAATCTCTTGGTCATATCCAATATTACTCATTTGAGAGATAGGAGAGAGAGGACCAGGATTGCGATGATGATGATGTTATCCACCATTCACTCTTAGCGGTTCTATGCGCAGGTCTCTCCACATCTTATGACTTTGCACTATTTGAGTTTTTCCATGTTTTGGCCCGTGGTGTCCAGCCTCTGTGTCTTTGACGGCCTGGTTTCCTTTTACCCCTAACTCTTTCCAACATAATTGCTTTCTCCAATGAATTCCCCTGCAATACGTGGCCAAAATAAGTGAGACACAGTTTAACCATTTTTCTTTCCAGTGACATATCTGGTGTTATGCGCTCCAGCACTTGAGTGTTGATCACCTTTGCTGTCCAGGGATGTAGCCCAGAGATTTTGACAGACGTCAGTGCATAAAAGGGACTGATAAAAGTTATATTTGACATTGTGGTTAAACTTGCTGAAAGGAGAAATCTTTTATTGTTTTTCAACTTTAAAATAATATTTATGAAACTATTTACTGGTAGTTGTGATACCAGTAAAAAAAACAGCTATAATAATAATACAGAAGTAAAGAGAACAAAGTATTATTACAAATCTCTTACAAGTTGAACCTGATTCAGACATTTTGATTTAGAAGCACTCATTTCAACTATGTGAATTGTCTTACATATTAGTATATTTTTTTTATTCACATACATAGGACAAGGAAGTATTTTATACAGAACAATGATTATGTAAACATTTTGTTGGGCAATAGCCCGTTTTCCCCCCTCCAGATTTGATTTGGCTCTTTTGGGGGGGGGGTAGCCACTTTTTTTGTGACTCACCCAGGTGCCCCTACTTATCCCTTCTCTATTGGCTTGTTCAGTTCCACGATAAGATAGATTCAACTATTGAGAACCTGGACCGGATCGTTGAACGTTTGCGGCAGCCACCTTCAATCTCAGCTGAAGTTGAAAAGATTAAAGAACAGATCAGTGAAAATAAGAATGTCTCTGTAGATTTGGAAAAACTGCAGCCAGTGTATGAAACTCTAAAGCTGCGTGGAGAAGAAATGATTGCACGTTCAGAAGGAGCTGATAAAGACATATCGGCTAAAGGTAATGGAGGTTACCAGATTGGAAATTCCTCCCCTATTTTTGTTGGAAGCATTAAAAAGAAAAATGTAAACATCTGTAACAGAAGAATTAGCTTGTATTAGCTGTTTCTGAGGGAAGGGATGTATGTTTCATGTTATAGATAGTTGTATATATATTTATTGCTTTATATTCCATTATTTATCTGATCCTTTAATAGCACATTTTCATCCCAAAATATTTACATTGCAAAATAAATGTATCACAGATAGTTTACAAGCTTCTCTCAAAAACATGTAGATCGCTCTGCCTGTGTAACTGTCGTGTTATTTTTGCTGCCTAGTTGTTCAAGATAAGCTCGATCAGATGGTATTTATCTGGGAGGATATCCATGCTTTGGCTGAGGAAAGGGAAGCAAAGCTCCTTGATGTCATGGAATTAGCAGAGAAGTTCTGGTGTGATCATATGGGTCTCATAGCCACCATCAAAGATATTCAAGATTTTATCAGAGAACTAGAAGGAGCAGGGATTGATCCTTCGGTGGTGAAGCAACAACAGGAAGCAGCAGAGGTAAATGAAATACTTATAACATCTTGAGGATGAAATTCTATGCCCACTTCCTGGAAAAGGTACATTAAGTATCATATTCCTCTTTCAAATCAAAATCTTTGGGTACTAGTATTTCTAAGTAGGCTTCTATATGTATGGACATTTTGGAAAACTTCATCATCCACGAATGGTGAGGTGTAGATTAGCACTTGATATTCTGATACCATGGTATCAAGCTCACACTCTCGCTTCCCCACTCCTCTCGTCTCCCTCCTCCCCCCTCTCCCTTATCTCAAAAAGCTTAAGCAGGCCTGGACCTAGATAGTACTTTATTGGGAGAACTCTATGGCAGAGGTCCCCAACCTTTTGGGCACCAGGGACTGGTTACAGGGAAAGAGATTTTTCCACAGACCGGAGGGGGCGTGGTTTTGTGTGCTGCCTGCATCCATCGGATGGGGCTTTGCTTCTTTGTGCGGCACAGTTGCTGGCATGCCACGGCCCGGTACCAGTCCATGGACCTGGGGTTGGGGACCCCTGCTGTATGGAATCCTAGGACTGTAAGCTAGTTTGGGAAGAAAAAACAAAATCTCAGGGAAGGCAATGGCTGTCTTCTTCTATACACTTTCATGAAGTCACTGGATTCTACTTTGACTTCAAGGAGGAGATGTTGTATTTTTTTTTTCAGTCCTTGAAATAGACATTCCATCACAATGGCTTGTGTTCATGTGGAAAAACATGTTGCCACCAAGACTTTCTCTATAGATTATCCTATCATGCTTTGTTAAAGCTCAAGAAATGTGAGCTATGAGAAAAATATTTTTAAAGGGATGCTAGTATTCGCTTTACTTTGTAAGAATTATGGCAGATGTATTTATAATATTAATTCACTGGAATATAAGGAATAATAAAGTGCTTCTGCAGTAACTTCCTATTGAGTTGGCAGAAGAGATCAGAGTTGTTGACAATCATGCAACATACAAGTTTAATTATTATAATTATTAAACACAGATAATACATTGTGCTCTTTAAATACCCATAGTAAGTAAACTATATTTTGTGACTAAAACGAATTTGCTTTTCCTAAATATTAATATGATAGTTTGAAACTTCATGTTTTTTTCATCTAGACCATCAAAGAAGAGATAGATGGGTTACAAGAAGAACTTGATGCCGTTGTGAATCTTGGCTCTGAACTCATAGCTGCATGTGGTGAACCTGACAAACCATTAGTCAACAAAAGTATAGATGAGGTACTGATCATGTAAATGTTTGGTACTTAATGGTTCTCTGAAGGGACTAGAAACCTCTAATTTTGGGAGAGCATGGCTTATATTGAGTCAGACACTGATTTAGATATACCAAATTGTCAATACCAATTGTCTACGATTTCTGAATTTTTTTTTACGTTTTAATAATAATTGAACTATATATTTTCAACATACGTGGCTTATGCTCTTCTGCTGAATAAAATAAAACCACTGCGGTCCTAAAGTTTGAATGAAAGGAATTCTAATCTTAATTGGAAATGACATTGAAAACTATGTTAACTTTTAATAACTAATTAGAACTCTCCCTCTCCTTGCAATTTTAGAGATATTTAAACTATTCTTTGTATTGTAATCAGTACATTTTAATATATATTTTTAAAGACTTAAAAACTCTTTAAATTTTACTCACCATTTAAAATGTAGCTAAATTCCATTTGGGATGGCTTAAATAAAGCATGGAAGGAACGTGTTGACAAACTTGAAGATGCTATGCAGGCTGCTGTTCAGTATCAAGATGGACTGCAGGTACGTCTTTAAATTCAGTTTGTTTATAATGTTTTCTTGGTAGGATATTTGGAAAGGTATTGCTTAAAAACAAAACAAAACAATTAGGGATCGTGAAATGTTTTAATAACGACCTAATTATTCTTCAAAATCTATAAATATACGGTTGTGCTTGCTTTGAAAATGATTTGGAAAAAGTACTTCTGACCAGAGAAGTGATCTACTCTTTTTTAAAGCACCTGTCTTTTTCATAAATGATGGGGGGGGGGGTGTGAGAAGATTTGGAATGCTGTACTGTCTTTGGGAATCACCCCATCCCCCATTTCCAAGATAGCTCAAGCTATTGGAAATCTCCCCCCAACCCTGTCCCAAATCTAAAACCTTGAGCAGTGTGCAGGAAACATTTGCCTGGGAAGCTGGGTCCCAAAAGAGACAACAGTGAGTTACTAGGCACAAAAGGTGAAATGTTAGTGCTGGGAACTGGGAAGGAATGCTTGCTGGGGCAGGCTGGAGCCCACATGAGGCTGGGGAGAGGAGGCAGCCGGGCAAATGAATGTCTGCTGGCACTTACTGAGGCTTTCTTCGGTTATGGCAAGCAGCCATGGAGCTATATGTTTCTATGGCTGCTTGTGACCCCACAAGGAAAAGTGTAGGGCAGTGGTGGCGAACCTATGGCACGGGTGCCAGAGGCAGCACTCAGAGCCTTCTCTGTGGGCACGGGTGCCGTCGCCCCAGTCCTAAGCCTTCAGCTGGGTTTTATAAAACCTTTTTGCTTTAGACCTCTGCTGCCGTGTACAAAAAAAAAAAAAATCAATCAGTCAATTTCAGCTTCTCGCGGGGAAAAAAAGGATCTTGCAAAGTTGGAATTGATTGACTGAACTTTTTAGTCCCACCCAGTCTGCCGTTTCCACTGCAGCCACGCCCAGCCAATGGGCCCCACCCACCCAATGGACCATGCCCAGCCAATGGGCCACACCCTCCCGGCACCTGACAATGCATAAGTGGGTTTTGGGTTGCAGTTTGGGCACTCAGTCTCTAAAAAGTTCGCCATTACTGGTGTAGGGCAACCAAAAGGGAAGAGATGGGGGGGGGAGAGACAGGCAAGTGGGGGGAATTGAAGCACCTCAATAGGGTAAGTGTGGGTTGATTGCCAAGTGCCCAAATTTTGATCATACTGGGGTGCTGCAATGAACATAATTTCAGGCACAGATCAAAAATCCTTTTTTCCCCCCAGCAACATCAATTTCGAACAGTCACTGAATGAATGGTTATAAGTAAAAAAATATCTGTAAGTAGATCAGGAGGCACCCTACTGAAAGTGTGTACAGGTAGTCCTCAACCTACGACCACAATTGGGTCTGAAATTTCTGTCGCTAAGTGATGCGATTGACTGAGCCCAGTTTTACGACCATCTTAGCATGGTCATTAAACAAATCACCGCAATCATTGAGTGAATTAGATCGTGTGACCACAAGATACTGCAACCATCGTAAATGTGAACCAACATCCACAACTGAGCCCAGAATTTATGTTGCTAAGTGAGAAATTTGTTAAATGAGCTTTGCCCCATTTTACGACTTTTCTTGCCGCATTTGTTAAGTGAATCACTGCAGTTGTTCAATTAGTAACACAGTTGTTAAGTGAACCAGGCTTCCCCATTGACTTTGCTTGTCAGAAGGTTGCAAAAGGTGATCACATGACTTCGGGACACTGCAACTGTCATAAATATGAAACTGTTGTCAAGCATCCCGATATAAATCACGTGACCATGGGAATGCTGCAGCAGTCCTAAGTGTAAAAAATGGTCATAGGTCACTTTTTTCAGTGCTGTTGTAACTTTGAAAGGACACTGAATGAACTGTTGTAAGTCGAGGACTACCCGTACTTGATTTAGCTGTAGATTTTTCAAGCAAAGTCTTTAAAAAGGTGAGTGGTTAAACTATAGAAAGAGATGCAATCTTTGTCAGTGTCTTTGTTGTACATTAAATGCCCCTTTTAATATTAAATCTACAAATTTATTCCGTGGTTAAAATTGTTTTTCCTGTGCAATTTTTTACAGTACATTTCATTTATGTGAGTTTAAACAAATTTCATTGATTTAAGCTCAAACTATTCATAATTATTTGTGACATCTATAATGGTAGAAGGTTGGATTTCACTCAGTGAACATCATTTCACATTTTCTAAAATCCTATTGTATTACTTCATTGGCCTGGCTAAATATTACCTGCTCAGCACATTATAAGATTTAACATAATTGGGTCATTTACAATTCCAAATGAAATCTCTGCTTCACCACTTCGGCTCATAGACATTATCTGTCTGCGACAGATGATGCATATTATATCTATACCAATTTTTTCCAATAGTTAGGAATATTTTACTTAAATGGAAATCTTGTACTCATTATCTGAACGGGTCCCATTAAGCTTAGTAGACTAAGTGATTAGTTCACTGAGTACTGGTTTGAAGTCAGTCCCTTCTATTAAATGTTGTCATCTTGTAGGACTGAGGAAGCGTGCCTTCTCTGACGCAGCCCCCACCCAGAGCAGCATCTTCCCAGAGATAAGAACATTGCCCTCTTTGAGTAAATAAAAAATAAAGGGTGGGAAAATGGCTTGTGTCCATGCCCCATCCCCATCTTCACTTCTGGACAGCATTTTTTTTTTCAGCGCAAAGAGCAACAGCCACAAAGCCAAGCTGCTGAAGGCTATAGGGAAGTAGCCTAAGTCTAATGGCATCTTTACTTCAACCAGGAAGAAACTCCCACTAGTGGGAAGCCACTCATCTTTGCAACTCCAAAGGAAATGCTGCTAAACTGCCTTTCTGGCATTTCCTGTGGAGTTAGACCTGAGTTGAAAGGTAATGGCATAGCTTCCCCACCTTAAAGGAAGCCTCGTTGCATTTTGGTGATGAAGAGGGACTGCATCAATGTCAGGTCTATGGCATCTCTAGGTAGAAGATTCCATATCGGCAAGTTCTTAGAGTGGACTGAGGACATCTTGATTGAAGTTATACAGAGATATATTGGCATCTGTGGCAGATTCAAGATGACAGATGCACCATCGCATCCACACACACAAAACAGAGGCAGGACTTGCATCTTGCCTGTTTTGACACATACCCACACACAAAACCCACAACACACACCAACGTTCATAAACTTCTTTCAAAGGTTAATTGAAGAAATTCAGGATCACAGCAAATGAATTGGCAGCTTTCAAAGGAAGCTGTTCTATTCTAGACCAAAAGGCTTTATCCTATGTTAGACAAGACAGGACTTTCTTCTTCATGTCTCCCAACTTCCCCTCCAAATCCTAAAACTACTTCAGAATGTTGTCTAAACTTCAGAGCAACTGGGGTGGGGAAACGTGTCAAGATGTCATTATGCATAAGGGCAAATCAGAATTTTAAAAGAAATGGCAAAATATATAGTATGCGAAAAACTGAGCATAAATGTATAAATTCTTGCCGTTCTTCTAATGTAACAAACAGTATTCTCTATATACACAGCTCATTTTTAATATGCTACATCATCTTTTTGCCCTGTTATTTTAATTATATTATTTTGACAGGCTATGTTTGATTGGGTGGATATTGCTGGTAGTAAATTAGCTTCAATGTCACCAGTTGGAACAGACCTAGAAACAGTAAAACAGCAAACAGAAGAAATGAAGGTAAGAAACGTAACTTTCTCTTTTAAATCTTCTTGTGAGGAATGGTATCTTGGATCATGTTGCAGCTACTTTGTACTGTATAAATTGAATTCCTATCTGTCTTGTGAGCATGGCATAAAATGAAATTCCTTTTTTTTTCTTTGAAAAGATAATTGTGAGGGGTATTTTTAATACAAGGTCATTTCTTCTCGCTGCATTGTTTCCTTAAGCACCCCATTTCCCCTTTAAAATGTGTGAAGCTCCTTCATTTTGGATACCGTGGATTATTCTTAAATTTTCAGAATTCATTCCATTCCCAGCCTTCTGGTGTATGAAACAGAAAACCTCAGTGAATTCCAAAAGACGGTTTAGAATGAAAAGATGACTCATTCTGTTCATAATACCTGGATACTGTTGTGCATTTTACACAGGAAATGGAGATAATATGAGATATCCTGTTTTGCAGCAGTGTTTTAGACTAGATGATCCAGTCTTAACTCTGTTTTTGCATGTGCAAAGCCGAAGTGGACAAGTTGTAAAAATAAACAGGAAACCATCAGCCAAAATAAGCTTTGCACAGTGATTTGATACTGAAAAATTAGGATTCCAACATTTGTATTAAAATTGAAAGCAAGGGTTAAGAAATCATTAGGGACTGAGTCAGACAATTATAGTGATACATCACCCTGGCTTAGCAGAATGTGAAAGTTTTCTGCATGTCTCTGCTTCATTCTTTTGTAATCACTACATAACTCATCCAGATGCACCTCTCAATATCTTTACTAGAGAGACAGTTGGAGCCACAGAAACCAAGTCAAGATTTTTTTAATGCTTGTCAACGAAGTGGGGGGAAGGTGGGAGAAGTCCATGGTATCATAAGTTTTGTTGGAACAGAAAACAGTACCCAGTGGGATCCTTCTCACATGGGTCTTCGGAAAAGCTGCCTTGCCCCTGTGCACTTAGATCAAATTGTGTTATGTGATACGTATCTGTTCTTTGTTCTGATAAGGTTTATTAAAAAGGACTTTAAAGCTTTGAAGCAATGGCTTTTAATAAAATGGGAACATAATGGCTCATAAATCCTTAAAAATTGAAATACAATACAAAAAGTAGACTGTGTGTTGTTCCCCCCTCCTCACAATTGTTCATCTAGAAAAAGCTCTCTGATTTATTTTACTTCCTCCTGTCATATGCCTCAGTTTAAAAAAATAAGAAGATACATTTTGCAAAAGAGAACGCAGTGAATATATCCACCACTTGATAGTCATCTACTTCGATTCTGTTCCAGGCAGAAAGGGTTGCGGAGTTTTGAACTTGTCAAAGCTTTGCATTGTAAGTTACCCAGGCGTCCAAAATGTTCAGTCACAGAGGAGGATGCCCCTCTTGTGTGTGATATATTACTATGGATTCCCTCCCTTCAGTTAATTTCTTCTGGGGATGGATCTCTGCACCAGGTGTAATTGGGTTCGGTCACTTCCAGTGAAGAGCTCTATCAACATTACCTTCGCTTTGAGGAAGCTTTGAAAGACTTCCTGTTTTATGGACTAAATTCAGTGTGAAACATTTCAGATAATAAGGATGATGGAGTATGCTGTCCATTTATATTTCAGAAAAGAAGTGTGCTTTAGTTGTCTAAACTTGTGAAAAATACTAGGTTAGAAAGTTCTATAGATTTCATTCTGTTCCCAGAAAGGTTTTTCATTCAAAACAAGCTTTCCCTAGAACAGGGATGTCAAACCCGCAACGTCACGTGATGTGTCGCGACATACCGCGATTTTTTTGCCATTGCTGGCAATGGGATGGGCACAGTTTTGCTATGATGCATCTGGTTTGTGGGCCAGCAGTTTGACACCCCTGCCCTAGAAGAAGAAAAAAAAGATTTTCAACATTTTATAGTAATTTTTTTAGAGACCTCGGGCTTCTTTTAGCACTTTTTTGGTAAAAATAGTTTTCCTTAAGCAGAAAACTGCTCAGGGAAAGTCTGACACTAAATTTCACAACAAACTAACAAGGACAAGGTGGTATCCCCCTTTGATGTTTGTGTTCTTGAATTTCTACAGCAATTTAAAAAAGAAGCCTACCAACAACAGATAGAAATGGAACGACTGAACCATCAGGCTGAACTGTTGTTGAAAAAAGTTACAGAGGAAAGTGAGAAGCATACTGTTCAAGATCCTTTGTCTGAACTCAGGTTATTATGGGAATGTCTGGAGAATAAAATCATTAGCCGACAGGTAAATTAAATTTGGCTGAAAGTTTACTCTACGTAGCAGCATATTTTCTGAAAGTGTAATGGAATATTTGAACAAAGGCATATTAAGATCTCTGTATTTCAAATAGCAATCATATCATTTGTTGTAACTAATACATAATGATATATAAGCAATTATGTGTATTGGATATTGATCAAATACATATTTTGTCATCCTATTTCCTTTGAGTATTTTTAAACAGTATATAACAAACTGAAAAGAAAATGGCATAACGAACATTAACGTCTCCAGCACATTTCTAAACTTCCTTGTTTCCCACCAGGAGATTAATAGTAATAGATTTCTTATTAATTTTCTTTTTCCTAATTTCTTCTCCCCTCCTTATGATCAAATATACTATATTATTTGTTATATTTTACTAATACAATTTTTAAAAATTAAAAACAAAATATTGCAACAAGATGTGAGGTTCACAGTGAGCACGTTCTTGGACTTTGATATATTAAGATTTAAATGCCAAATCTATCATGGAGTTTTAAAGTCATTGACTCTCATGTTAACCATTCATAAGGTAAATGAGATAAACATAAGCCACTCAAGAATTCTTAAATAATTACAATAAATATGTTATTTGCTTTAAATGTTCTTCTCTAGTCTGGTTTTCAGATTTTATATGTAAAATAAATTTTGGGTGGCGCTTCTAGGTGTTCATATGAGTTCTCAGTACATACTGAAATGCTTGAAGATTTAGCATTTGTGTCATGGTTTCAATTTTTATGTTCTTGTTTTTGAACAGCATAAACTGGAAGGTGCTTTATTAGCTTTGGGGCAGTTCCAGCATGCTCTGGATGAGTTGTTGACATGGCTGACACACACTGAAGACCTGTTGAATGAACAGAGGCCAGTGGGAGGTGACCCCAAGGCTATTGAAATTGAGCTGGCCAAACATCATGTATGTCTGGGCTTCATTGTTAGATATAATTGCTGAATGGAAATAACTGCTCCATATTAACAGTTGAAATAGGTCAAATATTGAAAAACGGTCCTTATGTGAGCTCAAATCTCAACAGAGTGCATGAATGCAGAACTCAGGAAAAAGCAAGCATATTTCAGAAGCCAAACTTCCGTGCAGACAAATCCAGAAATAAGAGCCAAGTTAATCATGTGCCAGTCCACAATCAGTCAGGAAACCAGAAGGAACACATATTCAGGAACTCAGATTCAAGGCTTGAAAGTTTGTTTCCTAACTGAAGACTGGCTCCCAAGCCCCTTTTCTTATAACGCTATCTCCTGCATGCCTGTTTTCTTGAGTCATGCCTCTTTTGTATTGCTCACTTTATTTTATTTATCCATCAAATTCATATCTCACAAGAAATGACTCTGGGTGGCATGCAGCAAAAATGCATAAAACAATAAACATAGCAAACACAGTCACATTACAAAGGATTTTTTTTGCTTGTGCGCAAGAAAGAGAACTTCTACTCAGATTGTAGGTTAGGCGACTCCAACTTGCTCCTATACTTTTGGAACAGGTATCTGATTTCCTACTGGTTACACAATAATTACACATAGTATGTTTTATGTTCAGTTTTCAAAAAATAATGTCCAAACAAATAAAATGTAAATTAAATGAAATACTGTTTACAAGTGGTATCAAAACAAACTGGAAATAACATTGGTTTTACTATATATTAAAATTAATGAATGTGTATGCATGTTTTAGAATTATACAGTTAGATAGGGATGATCTGAACAATTGAGCACACGGAAAGCAATTTTTTTTTGAGCTTTAAAACCTTAGAAGGAAAAAAATATATAGTGAGAAAATTAAAACAAAATAGAAAAAAGCTTCCAATTTTCTCTTCAGCAAATATAAGTATGATTACAAAATTAACTCTTGCTCTATGATTACAAAAAAGCTCACTTTTTTCTATTAATACTTTTTTTTTTCAATCATTAAAACCACAAGTCATAAGTGCAGTGGTGTAGTGGTTAGAATGCAATATTGCTGGCTAATTCTGCCCACAGCCAGGAGTTCAATCCTGAGCAGCTCAAGGTTGACTCAGCCTTCAATCCTTCTGAGGTCAGTAAAATAAGGATCCAGATTGTTGGGGGGGGGGGTGACTCTGTAAAACTGCTTAGAGAGGGCTGTAAAGCACTCTGAAGCGATATATAAGTCTAAATGCTGTTGCTATTGACTCTCTAGAGCAGTGTTTCTCAACTTTGGCAACTTTTAAGATGTGTGGCTCTCAACTCCCAGAATTCCCCAGGTGCTCTAGAACATCCCAAAGAAGTAAGAATTGTTATTCAAAGTGGATAGCTTTTATATCTCAAAGGATTTACTCAATTATGCAAACCTTCTAATTTGTACTACGGTATTTCTAAAAATTAGGTTTTATTGAAATCATGATGTTATAGAGGGTAATTGAATAAAATGAGTGGCTTTTTTAAAAAAAAATGACAGAAAGGAAGCTTACAAGCTTTTGTTGCTTCAGGTGCTGCAAAATGATGTCTTGGCTCACCAGTCTACTGTGGAAACAGTTAAAAAAGCGGGAAATGACCTGATTCAATCAAGTGCTGTGGAAGAAGCTAGCAATCTACAAAGCAAACTTGAGCTTCTGAATCAACGATGGCAAAATGTCTTGGAAAAAACAGAAAAAAGGAAACAGCAGCTGGACAGTGCTTTGATCCAGGTGTGTATGAGAAGTTGTGTAAAAGATCATCCAGGTGTATTGAGTTAAATTTGGGCCCATTGAAGCCAAAGGTAGGCACTTTAAAAATTCTCCTTACAGTTTGCTATCTCTCTGCAATATTAAAACATTGGAATATAATTTTTATAAATTACTAATAACTTGAAATACTTAATTAGAAATCTTAAATTGGACAGATTGTTCTGTGTGTATTTTTAGCTTCCAAGAGGAAATTCCTAGTCATAAATTGGGATTTGAACTGTAAATCAGCAATACATTTTATATAATTGGTATAAGGTTATTTAGTTTTTTTTTTCCTTTCTTTTTTTCCTCTCAATAACGCTTCACTGTATGTATAATTTTTGTTTTAACTTATTCTATGGAAACTTATTTTTTTTTTGTTTAGGGAATTCTTAATTTAACAGCAGTTCCTTTTAGGTCTGTAGACTTTTAAAAATTCTGTGATTAACTGTGTTCAACATTTGCAATGCCTTAGCTGATGATACAGCAAGCCTTTGTAATGAAATATGCTCTGAAGTGTTACGATGACATTTTGTTTAGGCCCAGGGTTTCCATGGTGATGTTGAAGACTTACAACAATGGCTGACAGAAACTGAGCGTCACCTTTTGGCATCAAAGCCTGTTGGTGGCTTACCAGAGACTGCAAGAGAGCAGCTTAATACCCATATGGTAAGGATCTTAGCAGTGTGAATGGCCCAAATTTGGAAACTAACCCTTTGTGGCTGTTTGGAATGAAAAATGTGCAAATTCTGCACAGGAAAATAACTCTAAAGGCATTAATTTTGTAAATTACCATAGGTGAACAATCCTCACATTAGTTTAGAGAAAAAAACAATTTTAAGGAAATAAGGGTCTCTGGTTATCTGCTATAAAGTTGTATATATAAATTATGTTCTTCGTATCCACTTGTCCTAATACCAAACTGTTAATTTCCTCCAAGTTCTCCAAATAGAGAACTTGCTATTATGTGTCTTAATCTCTCAACTTTATTATCCATTTATTATTTCTTAATCCATCCAACTCCAGTTGCCAGCATATAAAGACAGAGTCTATTTTTTTGTGTGTCAAGACAGTACAGTTGGATTACTTTATTTTCAGTGAGTTGAAGGCTCATTAAAATATGCCTATCTCGAGGACTTGGAATATAACATGCCCAGGCCCAGTTTTACTTGCATATTCATAACTTATAGTTAGTGGTTTGGTAAGCATTGCCAAGATTCCAGTGTAGGTCTGAAATGCAAAGATGTGATTGAGAATGCCTCTCTCTTGGGTAGGTTTTTTTTTTTTTAATGAATTTCTTTGCATCTGAGTAATAGATCAGATTTTCCTGAGTTACTTTTCAGTTGCAGAAATGCTTTGCTAAAATAAAAGGCATTTTTATTCCAGGAAAAAAATTATTTCTGAAAGATAACCATTCACTAAATAATAAAGTTTTTCTGAATTTGGAATTTGGATATTCTTTGTTGTGGATTGAAGCCTCCACAGATGAAATTGTAGAAATGTCTTTGGTCTCGCATGATCCCAGAATTCTGCAAGGCCAGTTGTGCAAAATAACCATGAAGATTATTTAACAAATAACATTAAAATATTTGCTCAAATATTTATTCAAAGTACATAACAAACAGAATGCCTATAAAGACTTATGAAACTCATGCATTAAGCTTTTTAAATTGTTAATTCATTTTAACCGAAGAATGCACACAATTCTGTATGCTGTTATGGGCACATTCCTAGTGATATCTGGTGAATGTTTCATATTATCCAGAATGTGTATTTATTTAACTCACACAACCTTTCACCACAAAAATAACGCCCACAGTCAATAGAACAATTCCCTACAACTGCTTTAGAGGCCAATAGTTTAGAATCAACCTTTATTGTAAATGGTTTAGCTGTTTTCTCTTTCTGTCTAGGAACTTTGTGTTGCCTTTGAAACTAAGGAAGAAACATACAAATGTCTGATGCAGAAGGGCCTACAGATGATTGCAAGATGCCCAGAGTCTATGGAAACTAATGTTGAGCAGGATATAAATAATCTTAAAGAAAAATGGGAATCAGTAGAGACCAAACTCAGCGAAAGAAAAGTATGTTATAGAATGAATATGAGAAATTTGTATATGCATTTAGGAATCTCAATGTTAGATTATTTTCAGCGTAGGAGGGTTGTGATGTTCTTTAGCAAGAGTTAATGGACCCATGTAATCTGTGTAGTAAATAATGCCAAACATCCATGCCCATAAGGAAAACCATATGAGTAAACTAAGGAGTAATCCAGTCTGTAAAACAAAAATGTCTCTTTAGAGTGTACTGATCACAGGCTTGAGGAATAAACAGTCCCCTAATCCATCATTTTGTCATTTGGAAATATACAATATGCTTTAAGAGCATTGTTGACATTGTGAATATAATAGTTCTTCAGAGTATTAAGTGAAGAGACCTTGCTGTGTCTAGGCCTAGGGAGTCAGAAGCAACTTATTGATAAATATACGCTTTCATAGAAGTAAACATGATTTTCTCAGTTAAAACAATCTGAGTTGGACTATACATTTCATCTGAAAGCAATAGAAATACAAATATAAAAAGCAGAAGTGAATGAATTAATGAAATGGATAAACAGAAGATATTTTGGGGGAGAAAATCTTTTGGATTCTTTTTTTAGTCATATACAGATAGTCCTCAACTTATGACCCCAATTGATCCCAAAATTTCTGTTGTTAAGGGAAACCGTTGTTAAGTGAGTTTTAACCTATTTTACACCTTTCTTGCCATCATTAAATGAATCACTGCAATTATTAAGTTAGTAGCATCCCCGTTGATTTTGCTTGTCAGAAGGTTGCAAAAGTGATCACATGACCCCAGGACATCACAGTTATCATAAATATGAACCAATTGCCAAGCATCCACATTTTGATCACGTTGCCCTGAGGATGCTATGACAGTCATAAGTGTGAAAAATGGTTATAACTCATTTTTTTTAGTGCCAATGTAATTTTGAATGGTTGTAAGTTGAGGACTAGTGTAGTAGAAATTAACAGACTGGTTCAGTACTGCAGCTTTTAGCTATAAGCACTTAGTTGTGTCTGGGAGATTCACTTCCTTGCATGTGCTGTCATTTAGGATGTAGATAAGCTTTCCGTCACAAAGTCCTTTTAAGATATCTTGGGATCACATCTCCCCAAATTTGGAGCTATTGGGATTATGGACCAATTTGTTTTATGAACACTAGGAGCCACAGTTTATTTGGAGGTCAAGATGTCAGTGAAACATTTTTAAAGATAAGCTAAATTCACTGTGTTTCTTAAGTTCTTCTGTCATTTGTGATATGTGTTCCCTGGAAGATAGCAGGGGCAGCTGTTTTCTTTTAGTACAGTTTTTGTTTTTGAGCTAGGCTGGTAATTGACTCGGGGACCTTTATTCTGCAGAAAGAAACAGTCTTCTGTGCAAATTATAAGGCTTAAATTAGATTAACTTCACCCAATGGTTTTCTGAGCCATTCTTGACATCCTTCATACAGTACTGAAAACATGGTCCCTATTTGTGCAAGAAAGATCAAAACTAGAAAGCAAGTGTGTTTCTGAATTTTTGTCTAAATGCTTCTTGGTCTTATCATTGAACATGGAAGAATGATTTGTTTTTGTTTTAAGAGGTCAGTATGTGACATGAGATGCTTTTTTCTTTTGCTCAATCCCCATTTTTTTCTTTTTTTTCTACTTAACCATTATGTAGCAATATTTCATCCAGATAGCGTTTTAGAACAAAATGCATGTTAATATTAGCTTAGAAAAATGATTAGGGGGAAAAGCCAAAAGCAATGGGCCTCCTCCAAATTATATTCAACCATAACATGATTTACTATTCTGTAATGCTTCCACTGTGGTTAATTATGTTGTGTTCTTACAGATCAAGCTGGAAGAAGCTCTCAGTTTGGCAATGGAATTCCATAATTCGTTGCAGGATTTTATCAACTGGCTTACTCAGGCTGAGCAAACTTTGACAGTGGCATCTCGGCCAAGTCTTATTTTAGACACCGTCCTATTTCAGATTGATGAACACAAGGTATGAAAGAAGGGAGCAGAATTATAACTTTCCACCCTAGATGCATTGGGCTGAATTGTACATAAATCAGCTCAGTAACATTTAGCTTCTTAAGATTGGTTTCTAAGTAACATGATAGATTTTCTCTGCCGATACAATAGGCAGCTTTACATTTTGAGATATTTTTCAAATGTCACTATTACCTTTTTCCTTTGGAAGGTCTTTGCCAATGAAGTAAATGCTAATCGTGACCGGATTATCCAGCTAGACAAAACTGGAACTCATTTGAAGTATTTCAGCCAGAAACAGGATGTTGTCCTCATTAAGAACCTTCTCATTAGTGTCCAGAGCAGGTGGGAAAAAGTAGTTCAGCGTTTAGTAGAAAGAGGAAGAGCCTTGGATGATGCAAGAAAGCGTGCCAAACAGGTAACATGGCAGTGTGCCATCTCAATTTTAAAGACTATATCTCAGATCAACACACACTTTGCTCCCAGGATTATTATATAAACTTAACTAACTTTCTCAACTTGTTTGTAGTCTGAAATGAGATATACTTTGTTATGCTGAGATTTTTTTTTAGTTCAAACAAGAGCTTAAAAGGGGAGGGGGACGAGTGACTCAGGATCATTTCCTACACCTAATGTTAATTCAGCATGGTTCTGCTGAATGCATGTAAGGGGAGCTTAGGCATGGATGAAAGCAGCAATTAAAAGATTCAAATGTTTCCCTTGGACATATATGCACTAATTGTCGGTTGGGTTATTTTTAAAGAAATAAGTTAAAATGGTTACTTGTTCTTGTCTTTGTATAGTAAAATTGATAGCTGATACCTGTTTTTGAGAAATATTAGTAACAGGCAAGTGATGGAGCAATTATGAAGAAAACATTCCTTAGCCCTTTTTTTTCCCCAGATAAGCGTACTCTCATACTTAGCAGGTTTCTGCCATCATCTCCCATGTTTTGAGCAAAAGGCACATCCATGGCTTCTTGGAAAGATATTGAATAAGTAGAAGTCCCCTCCTCCTTTTTTCTTTTCATTTTCCCCTAAGCCCAAACTAAGCATTCAGGTAAATGGCGGACAGTCTTTATCAATCTGTTCACATGGTAGCTGAAGAGATACTGCCAGAATCACTTGGCTTAAATGATCATTTAAGCCAGAATCACTTGGCTTAAATGATCCAGCTCTCTGATTCTATGACTCCATTGTACTGTTGACTTTACCTGAGGTCTGACATTATCATCTGTGCAATGAATCCAATAAAATAGTGGATGAAAATATTTTTCAAATTCACATTAGATATAGCGAGGTTTATTCATATGCATTAATGCATCATCAATTAATTATCCATCAGCGACACTTGTATTATATCAACCTTTCTGGAAGAATTAGAATAAGAAAGAACAAATATCTATTGTAAAATAATTTGCAAATCAAAAAGTCTGTTTGAAAGAAAACAAGCCATTCTTTCTAATATATTGTCCGGGCCCATTTTTAATTTCCTGATTTTGATTATTATCTTTTTCACATTTAATATTTTGAGATGCAATGTTTATTGATAGTCTATTGCTGGAAAAACACAAGTGTACCTCTTGTTTTTCTGCAGTTCCATGAAGCTTGGATCAAACTTACTGAATGGTTGGATGATTCAGAAAAGACTTTAGATGCAGAATTGGAAATTGCAAATGATCCAGGCAAAATTAAGATGCAGCTTGCCCAGCATAAGGTGAGTCACTAATAATTAAGTGAGTTTTGCCCCATTCCTTTCCACAGTTGTTGAGTGACTCACTGTAGTTGTTAAGTTCATAACACGGTTGTTAAGTGAATCTCGCTTCCCCATTGACCTTGCTTGTCAGAAGGTCGCAAAAGCTCATCCCGTGACTGTAGAATACGGCACCAGTCATAATCTGAGGCAGTTGCCAAGCATCTGAATTTTGATTGTAATCTGATCATGGGGATGTTTCAAAGGTCGTAACTGTGAAAAATGGTCATAATTTATTTTTTGTGCCATTGTAACTTTGAATGGTCGCTAAATGCATTGTGTGTCGAGGACTACCTGTACTTTTCTGAAGAGCAGTGAAGGTATGTCTCTTCTGCAGGGCTCTGGGGAATGAAAGGAAGTTATGATAAGAGCAGTAGCAGTATGTTTTGAATCAGCTATCTAGGTAGCCCAAAGTATTTTATAGGATTAAGTGAGTCTACAACGTATTTGGTAGGATCTGAAGTTGTCAGCTCGCGTCATTTTAAATCAGCTCATAGAAGATAACGCCAGAGAATTTTGCAATGTGTACATGCTTACTAGCATAATTAATTTAGTTTAAAATGATCAACGTCTCATTCCCATTACAAGAATAGTAATAAAGCAGCACCCACAATCCTGGAAAATCTGTTTATCAAATTGTTTGGCTGCAGTCTGTTTATATTGCTGTAATCTTCTGTTTCCTTGAAACTTGCGCTAGTAAGTAAAGCACCAAATCACGGTTGAAGGTTTCATTGGTTTTAGTATCTTGCATCAACATAAAAAGCAGGATATGTGTAATACCCAGAATTACTTGGATTTATTCCGTGAAAGTTGCCTTTGCCAAAAGTAGAAAGAAACCAAAATTAAAAAAAAAAAGATGTCTGTCTCATATTTGTGCCAAAATAAGGCACATTCATTGCTTTCTTATCAGTTTATATACCATGCGTATATTTAAATGTAAAATAACAGAAAGTATTGTTCATGCAGTCCATATCCCGGGATTTGTTTTAAAAAAAAAATATTTAAAAGAGTTTAAGCAATTAGGTGCTGTATTATTGGCTTATCACAGTTTATTTTACATGCAGAATTGATAGGATATAATATTGTTACTGACAATTGTTACTGATCCTTGGCATCCTGGACATAAACTGTTTCAACTTCCTCCGTCAAGATGATGCTATAGGCCAGGGGTCCCCAACCTTGGCAACTTTAAGTCCTGTGGACTTCAACTCCCAGAATTCCCCAGCCAACATGGCTGGCTAGGGAATTCTGGGAGTTGAAGTCCACAGGTCTTAAAGTTGCCAAGGTTGGGGACCCCTGCTATAGGGCATTGGGCACCAAAACAACTAGATACAAAGACATTTTTTTTTCCCCTGCCATCATTCTGCTAAACAACTAATTCCCACAAAACTGTCTTATGCCCTGAGATGTCAAACTACCTAGTAGGGCTGTATTACTATTAATATTATCTGTCTCATCTTTCCTATTACCTATTTCCTTAACTTCTTATGACTATAACTTTGTTGTTTGTATCTCTTGATTTACTTTGCTTTTGTTTAGTATCCTATTGATTGATTATTTAGTATCCTATGACTATCACTGAGTGTTGTTATCTTATGAATTATGATGACTGTATTTTATTATGATGATCATGATATATCAGGTTGTACACTTGTGTGCGCTCGGAGCTTATGCAGCCGAGACAAATTCCTTGTGTGTCTAATCACACTTGGCCAATAAAGAATTGTATTCTATAAAGAATTCTATTCAATTGTTTATGATTTGCTAGGGCAGTGGTTCTCAACCTTTCTAATGCCGTGACCCCATAATATAGTTCCCCATGTTGTGGGTGACCCCAAGTGGGTGTGGCCACCAATAAGAGGGAGTAGGACAGCTAGGGAAAAAGGGAAAAAAATGGCGGACAGCATGGTTTGGCGACCCCTGTGAAATGGTCATTCGACCCCAAATGGGGTCCCGACCCACAGGTTGAGAACCACTGTGCTAGGGAATTTATTTTAGAGCTGGGGTCACCCAGCCAGTGTTGATTAGTAACTAAATGTGTTTCTCTACCAGGGGTAGGCAACCTTGGCACTTGTATGACTCATGGACTTGAACTCCCAGAATTCCTGAGTCAGCCATGCTGGCTCAGGAATTCTGGGAGTGAGTCACACAAGAGCCAAGGTTGCATACCCTGCTCTAGACAGAAGGCAAAAGTATGATTAGATTGATAGTGAACATTGTGGGTGCTAGAGAAGTTGGCAGGGAACATTTCCTACCCAGGCTTTCACTAGCAGATATTTCTTTTATGGAAAATCATGGCAATCACTGTATATAATTTTGCCTACACATCTGTACAAGACAAACATTATCAGGAAAATGGGAATAGTTTAAAAGTAGCTAATTTTAATTACAAACTGGAAAATAAACATTTCAAAATCATAAAATTGAAATATGGATCAAGCTATACATGTATAATATATAGGGATGGAAATCAAATTCATATTTACAAGAAATGTATTCTAAATGTTATTTATTTTAGAGTATAAATTAATTCAGATTTAGAATTGCACTGGCTGAGATAAGCAGAATACTGGCTAGAATACAGAGTTAACTGTTCTTTTTTTTTTCCTGCTTGTTCTGTGAAAACGTGGTGCATATTTAGGGCCCCAATGACAAAAGCTCTGGGGCAGCTTTGATCAAAGACTTGCATCAGATAACTTTTGATATTTATTGCATGAAAGGCTCTTTGAGGTTTAAAGTGTTGAATGATCAAGACGTAAGTGTTTTTAAAATCAGGCACATGCAATTTAAATTGTCATTGAAGCTGATCTTACCAAGGCCTTAAACTTATTACTTACAATTTGATTTAAATAATATTTGTTTCTGAAAGACTACGTGAAGAGATTGATAGTGCTCTCCATCGTGATAAATTGTTAAGGAGTTCGTTAGCCATATGGAGAATGCCTACAATCCTGAAGGCTGTTGTGTTATTTTTTAACAGCAAGAAATGGAAAGCAATTTGCACCTTCAGAAGTCAACTAAACCAGACAGTGTTTGGTGCTCATACAATTCTGATCCATTTAAATTAAAAAGAATAATAATAGTTTTGTTTATGTTAATCCCAAATTGATGGGCTGTTATACCATACCGAAGAGCTTACTTCTTCTGCCGTTTCTTTTAGATTACACCTTTTTATTGCTCAGTGAAATTCAGTTGATTTGCCAATGTTTTAATTTCGTTGTTACAAGGCAAATAAATGGCTCTGGTTTCTTGCTATCTCAATGAAATTTTATGAGTTTTCTTCCCTAAATACAGCTTGTATTATAGTTTGTATTCCAATTGTAGCCATTGTGATCTATTCCAAGTAGCGCAAAAATAAGTTTTGTCCTGTAGTTTACATGCCCTGCTTGTTTCTTGTGACAGTTTTTCCTTATTTTTGCACAGGAGTTCCAAAAAGCTCTTGGAGCCAAACATTCCATGTATGACACCACAAACAGGAGTGGACGCTCTTTAAAAGAAAAAACTTCCCTTGCTGATGACAGTCTGAAATTGGATGACATGTTGAGCGAGCTTAGAGACAAATGGGATACGGTCTGTGGAAAATCTGTAGAAAGGTAGAACCCAAAGCTATGCATTACATCTAAAAGATGAGCCACAAAACATGGTACTAAGCAGAAAGGACTCTGTTTTCTTTTTTTTATATCATTGGCTTTTCTCTAAATTTATTGTCAATATCTGACCTTGATTAGTCTAATCTCACAAGAGGCCACTCTGAGCCACAGGATGGAGTTCTTGGCTGCACATGCAGCTTTGGAAATGTTTAAATAAAACTGCTTAAATCTCAGCCAGCTGTAGTTTAAGCATATGGTTTGTTTTTTATCCGTGTGATGAAATGAGACCTGCTCCTTCTCAACCAATTTCTGCAGAATGGCATAGGGATCTGTGTTTAACCGTGAGAAGTAGATGGCTGCAGATGTGCACCTTTTTTTCCCTTTGCACATCTGTTAGGCCTGGAATTGAGGATCTCGTTTTCCAAGAGGAATGAATTTTGCCCTAATATCTGTAGTATTCTCTTGAAACTAATATTGACAAACATACATAAACACCAGTATCTCAATGTTGTATTAATCCATCTGAAAACAAGCATAACATTTTGTCAAAGTTCAGGGAAGGTTGGGGTTGGCATTGGGGTGTTGTGAGGGCGTGTAGCCACCTTGAAGATGGATGAGTAGGGGATTGTGTAGGGGATAGGAAGTGGCATACTAACAGAAATATCCTATCTTTATTCAGATAAAGATTTCAGTAGAAGAACTGCAGCAACTGCTTTGCAGTCTCAAATTCTGGATTACTTATTCAATCAATCAGTCAAATTGGTTTAACCACCCATCTTACCAGAAGTGACTCTGAGCAACACACAACAATTCAATAAAAACCACAAATATAGAAACATCAGATGTAAAGAAATATATAGAAATTTAAATAAACTGTATAAAAAAACCCAAATATATAAACTGCTAGGCAAAGAGGGAATAAAAATGGCCACCTCAACAGTGGAGCCATCTGAGCAAATCTCCAGTTCTCTAGGAGCTGCAGGCCTGATAACATAAACAGGTCCTTAGGGCCTCCTGGAATGTCAAAAGAGATGAAACTTCTCATATTTTAAGACGAAGCATGCTCCCTAAAGTGGCCATTATTACCACCAATATGCTGTTTAATCTGTAGAGTGGATAAATGTAAATCCAAGAGTTGGTTTACGTAGGACAAAGAACAGCTGAACTTATTCAGTGCTTCTACTGCATATCCACTGGGGCACGAAGGAAAACAACACAGAGATCCTTCCCCCTGTACTACTGCTGCAACAAAGGAGCAGTTTTAATTGGCTATGACTCCTGATAAGAATATTTTTTTTTTGTCTTTTTACCGTTTTTATCTTTTCTTCTATTTTATTAAAAACAAATAAATTTTGGCTCTTTCCTTTATTTATATAGTATTTTTTCCTAATGAATGTACATGAAAGGGCGTTTTTTAAAAGTTTATTTAAAAACGTCTTTATCTTCTTTCTTCAGACAAAACAAACTGGAAGAAGCTCTCCTGTTTTCTGGACAGTTTACTGATGCTCTTCAGGCTCTCATAGATTGGCTTTACAAAGTAGAACCGCAGCTGGCCGAAGACCAGCCTGTGCACGGAGACATTGATTTAGTGATGAATTTAATAGATAATCACAAAGTAATGACCATATTACAGTAACGTTTGTATTCTTTTTAAGTCGGATTCTACAAATTGTTTTGATTGGGTGACTGTGATATCAATTTATACTTTGTCAGAAAGACTCATGAAAATTATTTAATAAATTAAAACCCCTACATTGTAGGTTTTCTATAAAAAAAATTCTTAGGAAAAACGGGGGATTTGATTGGCTCGAAAATTCGTTTTGGAATCTGTGCTATGTTATAAAACTTAAGTTATTTTAATTGATAATTTCAAGATGTTTGTGCCTTGTAAATTACCTGCGGGTAAGGCAATATTCTCTTGACCTCAAATAATATAAGGAAGCTTTATTTTTGAAATCATAAATAATCATGGTTTACTGTGTTGGGATTTGGCCTAGCTTATTTCCAATTCACAGAGAGCCTGTTCCCTTTCCTCCTTGATACGGCCATGAAAACTAAATTAAAAGTGTCCAGTGTAGATTAGCATTGCATTTGGATCCTGAATTGTCTACCGTATATGCCGGCGTATTGGGCGACCCGGCGTATAAGACGACCCCTGTCTTTATAGCCGGGCCGCATTCCTAGAACATCGTCTTATACGCCGGAAACTACCAGTATTTCCGGCGTATAAGACGACTCGGCGTATAAGACGACCCCCGTCTTTGGCGCCGATTTCAGCGCTCGCGGAAGTCGTCTTATACGCCGGCATTTACGGTAATTATAATTGATTGAGAAATAGCTTAATAAGCCAACAAACGTTTCCAACTCTCAGTGGTCCTACAGACCAGAGAGCTCCTAAAAACATTCCCATTAGAAGAACCCATTTTCTAAATAAGGTTTGAACTTTTGTTGTGGAAGGCATGTAGAATGCTGCTGATTAAGAGCAAAGCAAGGCAAAATAAGCCTATGTTAGAAAATGTTAAGAATAAGTCCAATGGATGGAAGACTTCATTAAAATTTTGAAATGAAAGCATTTCGCCTTATTTAACTTTTAAAAAATTAAGAAAATGCAATTTATGCTTTTAAAACTAGTTGCGCTCAGGAGGGTTTTTTATATAGAAAAAAAAATCACGTTGCATGTAAGTCATAAAAATGCTTCACAGTTTATTTAACAGAGGGTCATTTTTTTTTTTTTTAAATTTCCTTTGCTCAGGGCTTCCAAAAGGAACTGGGGAAAAGGACCAGTAGTGTTCAGGCTCTGAAACGCTCTGCTCGAGAGCTGATAGAAGGTAGCCGTGATGATTCCTCTTGGGTTAAGGTTCAAATGCAGGAGCTTGGTACTCGGTGGGAGACTGTGTGTGCGCTCTCGGTCTCCAAGCAAACTCGACTGGAACAGGCCCTTCATCAGGTGAGAAGCAAAAGCATCACAGTGAATTCCATCTGTCTAAGGAAGCATAATGACCTGATCCACGTGTGATATCAAGACAGGAAATTTGTTTTTAAAACAAATGAACAAGCCTCTGCAGGCAGATTCATACATTATCCCATGTAGTGGTCTGCAGAAGCTTCGATTTCCCAGGAATTTTTCCAGTCTTGTTCAAACTGTCTGGAAATGTTTGGAACTGAAAATAACCTATACCAAAGTAGTAGTTGCTTCTACAGACCAAATTGAATTTTAAGCAAAATTTCTGATTCTCAACTACATCCCATGTATATATACCATAATTATATACAGTTTGAGATAGGTAGGTAGGTAGATAGGGAGGGAGGGAGAGAGAGATTTAAATGACAACTATGAAATGTCTCCACCACTTGCTCCAAAGTGTATATGTAGTCCTTGACTTACATCCATAATTGAACCCGAAATTACTGTTGAAAGTTGTGCCAGTCATTATGCTCATCACCGTGTGACCCACCTGATTCTACAACCATTTTTGCAATAGTCGTTAAGTGAATCATTGCAGGCTGTTAAGCACTTTTAGGCAGAAACTAGAAGTAAATGCCAGTTCCTGGCAAAAAAAAATTGTTATAAATCGCATGTGACTTTGGGATGCTGCAAATGGTTATATATATATGAACTGGTTGCAAGCTCCCAAAATGCGATCATGTAATCCCGGAGGGATTGCCTCCCCCATCAGAATTTGGATCCTAAGGAGCCCTGGGGAGGTCCATCATAAATTCAAACACTTGCTAAACAATTGGTTGTAAGTCAAGAACTATCTGTACATGCATGTTTGGGAAGACCCTGTTTCCTGTTTGTTCAGGACTTTGCAAAACCGTATTATAATTTGAAAAACTAAGGCTCGTACAGAACCTGGGGAAAAAGAGAAACTGTCACCAGAAAGCCCTATCTCAGGAGCAGTGTTGCTTTCAACTCTCAGAGAGAAACTGGGATCTATACACAGCTTTAATTAACTTCCCCCTTTCTTCCCTCAGACTAACTGATGTTCATTAGCAAGGCTTCAGCTCATAGACTTAAGCATTGTTTTTGTGATCTGGAGGCAGGATAGCAAATTGCTCATACAACTTTCATGGGTGGCATAAATCTTATAGTACATTTAAAAGCACTCAGAAACAGTTCATTGGACTTCCTTCAGATTTTTTTTTTTTTTAAAGGTTTGACATTTTACAGTCAGGGATAGCAAGGGTTTTTAAATCAGATTTCTTACTTGAAAGTTAATGTGATCTCGTTGCTGAATGATAAGTAACTGCCATTCTGAGCCCATTGTCTTCGTACATATTTGCTCTGCCTTCCTTGACACACAAACACACACACCTCCATTTGTGCAGGCAGAGGAATTCCACTCGGTTGTCCATGTGCTTCTGGAATGGCTGGCTGAAGCTGAGCAGACCCTGCGTTTCCATGGGATCCTTCCAGACGATGAAGAAGCTCTGCGTAAGCTAATAGATCAGCATAGGGTGAGTTGGATTGTGCAGGGGCCAGGGACTGTGAAAAGAGGTTTTTCCATGGACTGGAGGGGGAATGCTTTCGTGTGTTGCCTGCATCCCGCAGATGGGGCTTCACTTGTTTGCAGAGGCCGGTTTTGGCATGCCGCAGCCCAGTAACGGTCCACGGACTGGGGATTGGGGACCCCTGGGATAACAGACCAGTTCTCAAAATTAGATTTATAGAAACGTGACAGTAAAATAAAAGTACTCCTGGCTTATTTATATCTAGCAAAGAAAGGGTGTTTGCTGTTCTAGAAAAGAGGTCTTATTAAGCAAAGCAGTTGCTAGAGACTGAAATCTTCTTTTTATGTAACTGATACTTTTGATAATACTATAAATGTAAATTCAGCTGGCATATCTACTTAATGGAGGTGTTATTATTAGACAGCAGTAGACTTTATCATTCTTACAGATAATGTAAAGCTTGGAAGGGGCCTTTGGCTCATTGATTCCGACTCCCTGCTCATTACAGGATTCTACTACCTCAGCAAACCCAACAAAAGGCCTTTATTTAAATACTTCCAGCAGGCAGTCCTCTATTTCCAGAGGCAGTCTGCTTCATTGTTAATCAATGAATTGTTAAATAGCACTTGATGGATGGATTGATTGATTGATTGTGTATCATCATGTTGGTGTCAATTCTAATGACCACATAGATTTTCTCCATGATGATCTGTCCTTAAGCTGGTCCTGCAGTTAATCTTGTTGAGGTCATCCTCTTATTCTCTTTCCTTCCTTGAGCATTACAGCTCCAGCCCTGCTTTTTTTCTGCTTCTTTTGGAAACCAGCTCACCTAAACCAGGCAGCTGTTCTCAGGCTTCACCTTGCCAATCTCCTCCCACCAATCTTCCTTTCTCTTCCAGGGATTCTTTTTTGCTTGGCCTTGTCCCAGGTGATCTACCTCCTGTCCCATCTCCCAAGAGGCTTGGAGAAATGCCGCCTCTTTCTCCTTGGCTCAAAGGTTTTAACCGCATAGGGAGGGCTGAGGGATTTCCTTTCTGCCTAAACAAGTCTCGACTTTCCTGCCCACGTCTTCCCAACCATGCTATCTTGTCCTTGAAAGTGTTATGAATTCTCCTGATTGCCTGGTGTCTGGGATGTGTGCATTGGGTGAATGGGAGTTTGGCTAAATAGAGCATATGCTGCAATGGAAAAAGTGTGGCCTGGTCTAGCCTTGCCTTGCTTTGGATTTTATCCTAGAATACAAGAAGGTTCAGTAAAATAAGTGTCTTAACTCACATATGAAGTATAATGCACAGATAATACTGCTTTTTAAAAGAGAAGCTGAAAAAAAAAATTTATGCCATTAAATGCCAGTGGTATGATGTTTTTTGTGTTTTTCAAGCTGCAGATAAAGGGGACTTGGGTGATAGTCTATCTTAACCCTACTAGCCTTCTGACGATAAATTAGAAATGTTGTCTTGTCTCGGGACGTATTCTGACTGAAAAGGAATTCAGGGTCTCATAATAATCACCTACTGTGTTGTGCATTATAAGCATCTCTTCTCTGAGTTCATTTCTGTCCAGTAGTAAGAAAATACTCCAAAAAGAGTCTCCAAATCCTGCAAGGTGAAACCTGTTTCTGCCAGGTTCTATGATTTGTTTCTACAAAATTGAATCTCTACTTTAAGGATTAAAAATACAGTCTGTCCTGTTTACTTAAATTCTTGCCGAGTATTTTAATAAAGCAGATATTAACCCACAAAATTAAAGTCGCTGGAGCAACTGGTATTTGTTTTCCTGACTCATCAGAAACAAGCAGTAAGATATGAATAGTATTGTATTATGAAAGACGTGTATATGTTAAACGGCAGCATGCCCAAGGTACTTAAAGATATGTGTCCTTCTTTAAGGTTATAGTGATTATTAGTTTGGCCACTTTATTCCAATATTAATGATTTGTTCCTCACTATTATGACTTTTCACTTCAGTTGGTGCAACTGTTCAACTCTTATTTCAGAACTTTTATTTTAGAATGTTGGACTTTGGTGCCAACATCTCATGGAAATCACTGCCTTTTCTGCCTTAGGAATTCATGAAGAAACTGGAAGAAAAAAAGATTGAGCTAACTAAAGCTACAGGTATGGGAGAGGCCATCCTGGCTATTTGCCATCCAGATTCCATCACTACCATTAAACACTGGATAACCATCATCCGAGCAAGATTCGAAGAGGTCAGTCCAATTCAAGCAATCCTATGTAGTCACAGTCAGTCCTTGACATCCAGCAATTAGCAAGGCCATGTTGTGAGGAAATATTCCAGCTGTTGAGAGCAAAATGTTTAACATATCTGTGCTGTCTTGGGTACTAGTTCTTGCTTTAGACTTTTTTATGGTTATATCAGGAGAAAGAAATACAGTAGAACAGAAACTTGTATCCATTTACATTTGTGTCAGTTTCTCACTCCACCTAGAAAATGGGATCTGAACATAAAACATTAGCTTTGAAACAGGAATGGACAACCCAAATATTTCCAAATATTGTTGAGCTGTAATTGGCACAGGAAATGCAGTCTGACGTTTAGGGGACTCTGTGGTATTCATCCCTGCTTTAAATTGATGACCCAATAGAAACCAGTCATCAGTTCTTTGCAGTATAATCATGTTAAGTAATAGGTGAGCTTGTTTCTTGAACTGTCAATGAAAACCCTTGTCTAAGGCACATGGACGTTCCATTAAAAGCAATTAAAAGTTACATAGTGATGGCCCGTCTACCTGAAACTTAAGAATTGGCCATCACCTCTGCAATAGTCATTAAGCAAGAAGGGAACGGAAGGTTAATTTTGTGAATGAACAACAACAATGTGGAAATCATAACATATTGCTGTTCCTTCTTTTTAAGGTGGTAGCATGGGCAAAGCAACATCAACAGAGATTGACAGGAGCCCTGGCTGCTCTTATTGCTAACCAGGAGTTATTGGAAGCACTATTATCCTGGCTGCAGTGGGCAGAGACAACCCTGACTGAAAAAGATAAAGAAGTCATTCCTCAGGAGATTGATGATGTCAAGGCACTCATAGCAGAGCATCAGGTAAGAGAACTATGGCTCCCTCTCCTAAAGCTCTTTCTCAGCCTGGATGGGAGGAGGTAGCACTTCAAGCAGACCAGAAATTTACAAAACTGAAAATCCTACATTGCTCACCTATCTGACCAAAACATATACATTCCTTAAATGTTACGTATCTGTTTGTTGCAGAGTGTGACTTTTGTGCTTAAAGCAAATAGGTAGCACAGAGAATAAAAGAGTTCTTCAAAATGACGTTGGCAAGGAAACATGTCAGTAGCACATGACTTGTAAGCTTTTCTTTTGTTCTTGCAGAGGGCAAACTAGCCAGTATTTTAACAGTGCAGCAGATTGCTGCCTGAGGGACTAAAAGTCTTGGACAGAAAACAAAAGTAATCCAGAGGATGTATGTGCTAAGTTAGGGCGCCTTTGTTTCAAACGTGATGTTCTGTGCTGTGTCTGGAAACGGAGAGCATGTCTTTCCTTCATTTCAAAAAAGGAAGGAAGGAAGAGAAATAGTTTTAACAGAGGATAAGCAGCCCCCCCTCCCCCCGCAAGGCCTGCAGAAAGTTTCTTTTAAACAAGTCAGACCTCCAAAGGAGATTTTGAGGCCTGGGAACTAAAAGAAGAAACAGAATGACTGTTTGGTAAATAGAACTGACTCATGCAAACATTAGGTTTGTCCTAAACGTATTTCTAAAAAAATCTTTTTGTAATACGAGTTTGTCTCTGTTGGACAAAACATATTTTTCTGTCAATTTAGGTCAGTGGTTCTCAACCTTTTTAATGCCATGACCCCCAACCGGTCGTAAGTCGAGGACTACTCAACTGGTGCCGCACCGTTTGCAGAATGGGACTTTTGGCGGGCTCACCAAAGACAGCAGAGACAGCCTGGACAATTCCTATTGGCTTTTGAAAGCCAATAGAATTAGACTCTATTCGAGAGAGTCTATTCTATTGGCTTTCAAAAGCCAATAGAATAAAAGGGAGTAGCACAGCTAAGGAAAAGGGGAAAAAAATGGTGTTGTTTGGCGACCCCCATGAAATGGTCGTTCGGCCCCAAATGGGGTCCCGACCCGCAGGTTGAGAACCACTGATTTAGGTGATGGTACAAGTATTTTATTTTCATACGAATTAGAAAGTTGATCACTTTATTGTCATTCTCATCCACTCACAGCAGACCAATCAATCCTGTTACACTTCTGGTGTTAGAAAGTTTGTAGTATAGGTAGCCCTTGATTTATGACCACAGTGGAGGCCAGAATTTTTGTTGCTAAGTGAGAAATTTGTTAAGTCAGTTTTGCCCCATTTTATGAGTTGTCTTGCTACATTTGTTAAGTGAATCACTGCAGCTGTTAAATTAATAACCTGGGTTATTAAGAGAACCAGGCTTCCCCATTGACTTTGCTTGTCAGAAGGTTGCAAAAGATGATCACATGACCTCAGGACACTGCAACAGTCATAAATATGAGCCCATTGTCAAGCATCTGAATATAAATCATATGACCATGGGGATGCTGCAACACTCATAAGTGTGAAAATTGGTCATAAGTCCCTTTTCCCAGTGTCTTTGTAACACTGAACCATCGCTAAACAAACTCTTGTAAGTCAAGGACTACCTGTATTGATACAAACCTTAAAAGTAAATACTGAAAAAATCATGTGTGATGCAGATGCATTATGTATGTATCATAGGCCCCGTAGGCCACTACACCGAAGCTGTTGTTTCGCTGAGTATTTTTCAGGCTATTTTGATGCAATGTTAGTCAAAGTAATTGCCGTTTAATTGCAGACATTCATGGAAGAAATGACCAGAAAACAGCCTGATGTGGATAAAGTTACGAAGACACATAAAAGAAAAGCAGCTGAAACTAGCCCAATCCAATCTCATATTCCTGTACTGGATAAGGGAAGAGGAGGAAGTAAGTAATGCTCTATTGTGAGGCATTGAGAATATCATATTTCAACATTACTTGGCTGTTTATAGATTGCAGCAGCAATTCACCATTGTTTTATTGCATACAGTGCTTTTAAGCTTTTTTTTTTTTCTCATTTAAAAAGTGGCAAGGATAAACTAGGAGTTGATAACTTTTACTCCTGTGGCCCAATGTAACTGACTCCTGCCATCTGGGTTTATAGCTACCCTCCATAAACAGAACCGAGTATTATTTGCAACCAAACAAGCATATGTGTCATATTATCTTTCTTCTAAATTGCTTTGAAAGGTGTAGTTTTGATGCAGAGTTTTTGATGCATATGCAATTGTCTTTAACAGGAAAACGTTCTACAGTCCCGAGTATATATTCTCCAGGGGCTCAGACCCAAATTGAGACGAAGAATCCACAGATTAACCTCTTGCTCAGCAAATGGCAACAAGTCTGGCTCCTGGCCCTGGAGAGACGAAGGAAACTTAATGATGCCTTAGACCGATTAGAAGAAGTTAGTAACAGTAGTTAAAATAACCACCCCAGGGCCTTAAATGAAGTTCTGTTTCATGCATGAGTGATAGCGGCATTTCTCTTGGGCAGGGGGGACCAACCATTCGTCACCTCTGACACTCAGAGGGTATGTGGTTAGCCCTTGATCGTCAGTGCAGTTTCTCTTCTGAATGTTTGGAGAGAAAGTACATGGCCATACATTGAGTACCCAGCACACTCCATGGAAGGACAGGGCACCCAATGTGCTTCTGTCATGTACCAACAGGAAGGGCGTGACAAGTGACACAAGTGACAGAGAAAATGTGTATGGATCAGCATTGCTTCTAGACGAGATGGGTGGCACACAAAATAATGATTGATTGATTGATTGAATGAATGAATGTTTATGTGCCACCAAGTCTTTTTCCATTCCCAGCAATCAAATAAGGTTTTACATTAAAAATAGGAACCAAAGGAACTGTAGAGTTATGCATTGGTTTGCCAAATGGTAAAATGGAAGGCAAGCACCAATAGTCTCTTCAAAAGAGACTATTAGTCAAAATTTAAAGTTATGTTTGTGTTGGGAGTATTCATGATGAATGCTAACCGTCTTTCTTTTAATAATTGGAAATAATTTTAAACCTTATTTTCAAATGACAGATGAAGTTAACTTCTGCATATTCTTCACGCTAAGTTGATCTATAGCTTGGGATCCATAAATGTAGTTGAACTGCAGTTTGAAGGAGTCTTCAGGCTCATAGACCTTGGCCAAGGCAGCTGGGAATCCAAGATCAGAGAGCTAGGCAGGAAATAGAAAGGACTAGCTTGATTTTTCACATTAATTTGATTTTTCACATTACAGAGGAAACCAATGTTCAGTTCTGTCCCAAATCTTAGCATCATGGATATTGGGTACCATAAGCCAATTCATCTCTCAAATCATTTTCATGATAATTTTTTCCAGCTGAGGGAATTTGCCAATTTCGATTTTGATATTTGGCGGAAGAAGTATATGCGGTGGATGAACCACAAGAAATCTCGAGTAATGGACTTCTTTAGGAGGATAGATAAAGATCAGGATGGAAAGATAACAAGACAGGAATTTATTGATGGGATTCTCTCTTCAAGTAAGTTTTAAAACAAACCATTATTCTTAAGGAGGGTTCCCCCAAGAGCTTTTCAGGGATCTGTGAAATGAAAATTATTTACCAGCTATGGAAGATATTTGCAAAAATTTAAAACAATATCACTGTTCTCATTTTTTTTTTTGTTAAAAATACAGGGCTTTTTGTGAGAACTATTTTATGTTAATATATAATAGGTTCAATATTATTTGAAAGTTTTATGAATGCATCAGTTTAATATTTAATGTTGATAAATATAACCCATATATATAAAAGGTCTTTTGAGGTCATCCATAATTTTCAAAAATGAGAAGGGACTTTAAGAAATATTGAGCCAGAAGATTGTTCAACTCTTGTTACATTCATTCATAGAGTAGATAGCCATCTTTTTCAGATCCTCTAGTTTCGCCCTTCCCATATCAGGCAGAGGAGTAGACTAGAAAGCCTGCAAAATTCTCTTTAATTCTATGATTCAAGAAGTAATCTCTTTCTAAAACTTTGTAATTCTAATGTTCAGTATCACTTTCTTTTCCATAGAATTTCCTACGAGTCGCCTGGAAATGAGTGCAGTAGCAGATATTTTTGACAGAGATGGTGATGGCTATATTGACTATTATGAATTTGTAGCAGCACTTCATCCAAACAAGGATGCATACAAACCTCTGACAGATGCAGACAAAATTGAAGATGAGGTATTCTTCTTCTATTCACCTCTTATTATAAGTATTGTCCAATAGAATTTCATAAAGATTGTCATACTCTACAATTTACCAATGATACAAAATGGCTGAAAAATCTAACACAGTGGTTCTGGTTATCTTATTGACAGGTGACAAGGCAAGTAGCAAAATGTAAATGTGCAAAGCGGTTCCAGGTGGAGCAGATTGGCGACAATAAATACAGAGTAAGTCTAAAAAATACATTCATGTCATCTATTGATTGATGCCTAGCTACTCTGAAAAGAACCTGAAGATCTGAGTTATTAAACCAAATTTAGACAGCGTGAATTCTGTGAATTTAGTATTAAAACCTATTTCAGCCTTGCTAACAGACAATAATAATCACGACATAGACAAAGTAATAGAAAATGAAGAAGCTATAATGTAATACTTACATGGATATGTAAAATCTTTTATTGGACTATTCATTGATATTTAAATGGCGTTCTTTCCAACATGCTTAGAATTCAAAGATATTTGACTAATGCATCTCACTATCATCCTGTTTTCATAAAAAAAGCATATGTCCCAGTTTTATTAGTTAGGAAATGTGTTGGGCATCATTTGGGGGGGGGGATTTAAATAGATATGAAGGAAGACTTTGTCAAATGGCAGAAGAAATGTGTGCCTTTTCATAGTGTGTTCTAGAGTCATGTGGAACATTTCCTGTTAAACTAATTGTGTTTTTTTTCCCATTTTCCATCTCTTGTCAGTTCTTCCTGGGAAGTCAGGTATAAACAGTGGAATGTACATGGAGTTTCTAGTATTCTTTTAATACATTATCATTTCAGCTTGCAGTGATTTGTCCTCCCACTTCCTTTCACCCTGAGCTAATTCCTTGTTTGCTCAGCTTTGGTGCCTTAACAGGTGTTTTTATACTGAGAATTGTCTCTTTGCCTGTCGCTGCCTCATAATTAAGATTACTTTAAGGGAACCAGATAATAGTGCCAAATGCTCTTCAGGTGCAAATGCTTTCAGCTACTGTCTCTGTAATTTGCACTTGAAAACTGTAGTTAAGATTGCGCTATGATTGCTATATGGAATGGCTTTTAGGTTTCCATGCTGCATCCTACTGTGAGGTAATTACCATCACACTTTTTTTTTTTTTTTAGGAAAAAGCTAGGGTATTCAGAAGCAAAGCAGTAGCATGCAGCCAAGCCCCTTTCAGACTGTATCAATCAAAAAGGGAATTTTGTTTATTTTGTTCAATATACCCTTGTTTCTCTGCTTACTATTAGCTTTTTTTTTTTTTAACATAGCTGTGTTATTCAAAACAAGAAAAAAATAACATTTGGGGGTGAGCTGGTTTCATTTGATGGAAAGTGGCCCCAGATTTCAGCCAGGATATAATGAGTGAACATGGATTCCACTAAGTTTGAAATTTGCACTGATGCCAGAGGCAGAGACTCTTCAATTCTTTTTAAAGTCCATCTTCCTGTGGTTCTTTTTATACATATGTATTAAAAAGGAATTTGTATACATAAGGGTAACACAATGTTATCATTATGAAACTGTCTTTAATAGCGGACATTGCTTAATTTTTTTATATATAAAACAGTATTAATAAAATTCTGGGATAGGATTTCCTATCTACTCCTAACCTAATGGAGCTCACTTGGTATTTGAGGACAATCAGGCACATTCCGAGTTGAATCTATGCTTAGACAGTTGCTATGATGAGGATTAAATGAAGAGAATTGTCAGATATACTGTCTTGAACGTTTAATAGAAATGATAGCATATAAGACAGTGTAAAACTGAACAAACTGTTGAAGGAACTGGTGCTTCTGGAGAGAGAGGCAGAGAAAAGAAACAATAGCCGGGCATCCTTATCAAGGGAAAGGAGTTCTCTTATTTGCAATCCCAGATTACCTAAGACAGTGTTTCTCAACCTTGACAATTTTAAGGCATGTGGACTTCAACTCCCAGAATTCCACAGCCAGCAACTCCCAGTCCACATGCCTTAAAATTGTCAAGGTTGAGAAACACTGACCTAAGAGAAGTATAGTAGACTTACTTGCCCATTTTGTTTTGTTTTGTTTTTACATTTTTGAAAGGCATGATCAGGAATATTAAGCATCTAGATACAAGTCTGGAATAATGTTGATATTTTAGCCACTCCAAATAATTATGACAGGTTTTGTTTATAAGGATTTTGGAAAAACACAACAAGAGTAAAGGATAAGCTTCCGAAAGAACCCTGCAAACAGAGGAGATTCCTCAAACAACTTCCTTGGTTTTATTGGTTGGAAAGAAAATTAAATTGTGTCTGGTCCCTCTTGATTTACTGCTAGAGCTTCTGGACAATGAAACATGAATATTACAGCTTGGAACCAAGGTAGAATCCTCCCCAAAAAAGTTTAGGAAGCAGGAAGGGGATAGTCTTTCCTGATTCATCTATATGTGATCATGACTTCCCACTCTGCTTTAGGAAAATAACCACAGTCAGCATTTGGATGAAGTTGTGGCTGTAGGAGGGCTGGGTGAACGTCTCATGTTACAGTTCCAATTTCTCTGGCTAATTCTTCCCAGAACTATTTAAGCAAAGTCCATTTTCCAAAGGACTCATATGAAAAACAGTTGCTGCAGCATAAAACCTTATAAGAAGAAAGGGAAAAGTCTTCATAGCTATGTCTATTTCCATAATTTCACACAGTGCACATTCCAAACTAGTATTTTGAATACTTCTAAAATAACATTTTGTTACTGGCATAGTGATCTTTATCTGATTTACTATTACTTGGTTCCTAAGAAGTAATATGCTTCTCCCCCCCCCCCCCCGTTTGCTTAAGCTGTATCTTAAGTTATATTAAAAGGTAAGCTCGGTTGTATGATTTAGCAATGAAAGATTTACTAGACAAACAAAAGTTTGCTTGAATTTTGAAAGATAATATTTGGCTTCTTATTCCAGTTGGACCTTTGGGGATTCATGCCCTTGTGAAAGATCAGGCATTAAATATTAGAGAAGTTCTGAACTCTTTTCATAGCAGAAGCTAACGGCAAAATGATTTGCAGCACAAGTCACTAGGGTAGATCATACAAAAGGTTTTTTTAGGCAGTGATTGGGATGGAAGTGTTTAAACTTAGTGAACTTCATTATTAATTTAATGGAAAGCTAACTAGTTGTGGCTTCCTGAGCGTTTTCTTCTTGGTCTTGTCTGTCCTCTCACCTAGTTCTTGCAATGATCAGGAGTGCAAATATGCTGCAGAGCAAAATGAAGGGAGAGAATAACAATCAGAGGAAATAGAAAGGGAAGTATGTTCTTCCTCTAGTAGGGAGCTTAAAACTACAGCACAAATCTCTAGATTGCAACAGCCTTTGGCTTTACAATGCTCATTCAGTGTCCCCATAACATAGGGGTCTGCACCTGGCCGTTATGATCCCACAATGACAAAACAGTGTCCTTTTGCCTATTGGCCCAATACAAATAGTTCTGCATTGGTTTCACGTCATGAGGTGCTCCTGCAGCTCTTTTCTCTTAATTTTCCTTTCCTGATGTGCTGCAATAAATAAAGCGGAAGCCTTGGATTCTCTGTTGAGTCTCAACCAGGAGACTATTAAGATTTTGAATAACAAGTTCAGTTAAGTTGGCTACCTGCCATGTTCCAGATCTGCTAACCATTGTTTCCTTGTTTGGACATGATAAGAAATGATTCCTTATTACAGCAGACCAAGAAAGAAAGGAGCTGAATAAAAACTAGAATCAAACAATAGATAAAACTTCTTTGGTTTAAAGGTTACCAATATATGCTTAAACATAAAGTAGTAAGTTTCATGATTACTTAAATCCGGGATGAAGAAAAATTATTTTAGTTTTATTTTAATATTATTATATCTAAGCACACTTCTCTAAATAAATGTTTGAATTCATATGGAATGACATATTAGAGGTTTTCAAACCTTTGATTTGGAGAACTAAAGCTGATTGAATTAAATCTCCAAATCGAGTATTTGACTCGGAAGGCATATATGTTTGTTCAGAATTGATTTGGACAGTCAAATTAAAGTATCAAATGAGTTCAGCTATCAGAACTGAGGATTCAGTTCTGACCAAGCTGATTTACATATCCCTGTTATATATGCTTATTTGAATTGTATTGTATTGTTGTAGTCCTAACACTTCTGCAGTCCATCAGACTGGAGAGGTTTTCCTTTTGATCTTGGAGGACATCAACTCCTGCCTTCCTGATTTTTTATTTCTTTGCTTTGCTTGTCTGCTTAGTTTACATTAATACTAACAGGTGGGCAAGACCAGTAGTAGCAAAACTATTAATGCTTTGTGGTTGCTGTATGAAAAAGGAAGCTCTCAAGTAGGTACAATCACTAAGGAATGGTAGATATGTAACAGGTTTTATTGAACCTTTAATGATTTTTTAAAAAGAATAGAAAGATAGATTAAATACAGTTATCTGAAATAGTAGCAGGATATGTGATCAGAACATAGCAGTGCAAATAGTAGGTAGCAGAAGAGAGAAATCACTAACTGTTTACCTCCCAGATAGGAGAAAATCTACAAAAGAAGAAAAGGTAACTGAATCGTACCATGCAATACATTAGCTATACAAAGGGGAAGCTTTCCTGAAAGCAAGAAAGTGAATCGAGCTTCATGTCATGAGTAAAATTACTTTTTTCTTCTTTCCCAGCACAAAACTTTTGAGTTTTCTCCATTTTATTTTTAATTATTCCTGTAAGGAAAGCTCAGGGAGAGTTTTTGTAATGAAGGAACAAGTTGTTTGGTGTAAGAATATTATATTTTCCTTAATATTTTTTCTCCTTTGAAAGAAATATAAGAAACAATCACATGATTTTTGCAAATTTTGTGTGAAACCAGCATTTGATCTTTGTGTTCCGCTTCTACCTCACTCCACCCCAATCACATTGCTAGCTTGTGGGTTAATACATTCAATCTGACAACAGCTTTGATCATCATATGCTTAATGAAAATATCTTTGGTAATAATTCTACTAATGATTTAAAGCAATCTATCTGTGGCTAATTTTAACCTGCTTAGCTGGAGAAACATTGCTGTTTAGAATATATAGGAAAGCTTTAGCTTATTTTCCTTTCTTCGGCACAGTTTGGTGATTCCCAGCAGCTTCGTCTTGTCCGTATCCTGCGGAGCACCGTTATGGTTCGTGTCGGAGGTGGTTGGATGGCCCTAGATGAGTTCTTAGTGAAAAATGATCCCTGCAGAGGTATGTAAGAAAAATAGCTTGGACGTCACACTCGCTAGTTGTGTCTTAATTCGATCGCGTAATTCAGTCTTAATTTACTTATAAAGCTATACTTTTGTACATATTCATATGTAAAAGTACTGCATACCGAACAATCTGGGACAGAGGTGAACAGACATATGGTCTTCAAATGTTTTGGATTGCAATTTCTGCAAGGCAGATAACATGGATAATGGCAGGGAGATGGTGGATATGGCATTCTAGGATAAGCGTGGAACTCTCCTGTTGGCTAAATTATCACTTACGTGCTCACAAGCTACAGGTAGTCCTTGACTTACAAACATTCATTCAGGGACTGTTCAAAGTTACAGTGGCACTCAAAAAGGTGACTTTCAACCAGTTCTTGCATTTACAACTGTTGCAGCATCCCCACGGACACGTCATCAAAAGCTGGGCACCTGTGAAACGGCACGTACTTATGAAAGTTGCAATAACCGCCATTTGTGATCTTCCCGCCTGGCTTACAACAATCAAAATCAATGGGGAAAGCTGGATTCACTTAGTGTCTGTGTATGATTCACTGAACAACGGCATGATTTGCTTTAACAACCAAGACAGAAAGATTCATAAAATCAGGCATGACTCACCAGCTTCCTTGCTTTAGCTGTGGTCGTTAATTGAGGACTACCTGTACTGAAAACATACCTTTAGTAAAAAAAGAAAGCGGTTACCCTACTTTATATATTATTTATTTCTCCTTTGTAAGAATCTAATTTGACTTTAGAGGTGGGAGGAGCAGAGTTTATTTTTCTGAATTCTCACAATAAGCAGAAGAGGAATAAAAGACCTCACATTTGTTGACGGCACTAAAATGGGATGATGATAGTACTAAGATGGGGTATTAGAGTCCTTACCTTGATAGATACAAGAATTTTCAGGACTTGTTTGGCCTTTTGTTGTCACTGTTCTCAGTTGGATTTTTACAGGTAATATTTCTTTTTCCCCAGGCTTTACCTGCTTAGCTTGACAGGAAAATGGGAATGTCCATAAGCAATCGTAGCTAGATTGTAGCCATGTTATTCTCTACTGAGAACGTGAATTACCATTGCATGTATTTTCTGTTCCATGAATTGCAAATCAATTAGACGTATTTTGGCCAGTGCCACAACACAAGCAGTGTTTTATTCCCAAATCGGTTCATGTTGCTCTATACAAGCTGTGATCTCTAACCTAGAGCCTGACTGGCCAATTAGCATACTGTTGCCCATATGGAACATGCTAAGAACATCAGGACTTAACAACTTATTTTACAACATTAATGGATTGTCCTCGGATTAGAAAATGAATCTCCATCTCTATTTACGAACCCCTCTCTCCTGCCAAAACTTAACATTTCTGTGTACACGTCCTCCTTTTTTTCCGGCAGACTTGATGAAAGAAAAGATAGGGTGAAGGGAACAAGATAGACTCAAATAAGGGCAAGGGATTGTTGCATGGGGAAAGGAAGAAAAGAGAAAGGAGGAAGTAAGAAATGACAGGAAGAAATGAGTAGAAAGGAAAAAAGAGAGACTACGGTAAGTTGTTTCAAAGGGGTTAACCCAGGGCTCCTCAAACGTAGCCACTTTAAGACTGGTGGACTTCAATTTCCAGAATTCCCTAGCCGGCATGGAGTTTGAGGCGCCCTGAGTTAAATTCATCAAGCAAAGACCCCATATTAGCAGCTACTACTCAAGCTAACAAAGGCAATTCTAGTTGGCAGTTTCTACAAATAGGTGTTGAACAAGGAGACATTATGCTCCTTATTTTTTGGACTGAACACCGATATTTTGTAACACAACCAGATTTCCTTCATTTTCCATACAATTCAAGGGAGGGATTCCTATTATACTATATTTTGTGTTGTCATAAGCAAGTTTCACCTTGCAAGAATAAAATTCTTTTAAATACCAGTGTGTAAAAGTATGGAAAGTTTTGAATTTTATTATTCTTTTTTTTTTTTTTTTGGTGATGGTTTGCTGAAATAAATTTCAACATCCCTGAATAGGAATCTAAAACTCAACCCATTCATACTCATAGGGTTGCCGTTGCGGGGAAAAAAAAGTGCTTTGGGGAGGGAGTGCTTTGTAAGGCAATTTGAACTCCTTGAAAAAAGATTGAAACTAAATTAACAAATAAATAAATAAATAAGTGAACTTTATTTCCAAACAGAATAGCATTTTTAAGGCTGACCTCACTTAAGGAGAGGAACAAGATTTCAATCTTCTGAAAATCTATAATAATAATAAAAAACAGCCCTATGTTTAGAAAGATAAAATGTGAATAGTAGTGATTATTTAAATACTGTGTGGCATTTTGTCTTCTTTTTCAGGTTGGCATGGTTTGTCCCTTTCATTTTTTTTTTTTGTTACATTTCTTCATTTTGACAGAGAAGTGTTGTTTTTGTTTTTTATCAGAGATGGCATTGGAAGTATTGGCTATTGAAATCATACTAGGAGTCTTTACTATTTCCTTAGAGGCTTGATCTCAGTTAGGAAGAGCTAGCAAAAAGTTGCATCAGATTCTCTTTCTTGCTCTTCAGCTTTGAGTCTCTTGCGTATCTGCTGTGATTGATTCTTCTTCTGCTAACAATTTTCTTTTTAATATGACCCATATCCTGTGTCATTTTTTCTAGTTCATCATCATGGGAGTAAAATGTTACGTTCGGAATCAAACTCTTCAATTACCACTCAGCCTACTATAGGTGGGCAAATCCCTCTCTTTTCTCTCCTGCTCTTATTTTCTTTTCAATTTTCTTCTCGCTCTGCTTCAATATATATATATATATATATATCCAAATCTGTTTTAACCAAACGCTTCACGTATTACGCTTCATGTATTACAGTTTTTAGCTTAACCCTTGCTGCATTGGGCTGGTGCTTGAGAGCTTGCCTCTAAATTTAAATAATGACCTTGAGAAAGTGTCTCAAAAGCCATTCGCTGCTAACCCAGAGGCATCAAACACTAAACATGTTTACGTGTCTGATCCTTGTGCACTGTTCTTTCATATTATAACAGCATTGTTGGTATTTAACATCCCAACCCTTCTTTAGAGTTTGGGAGTTTCTATTTGCGTTGCATGTTACCAAACTGTATGATTTCTAGTTTAGAATTAATACGGTTTATCCTTTGCTCTCTCTCCCTCTCTCTCTCTTGTCTGCTTATCATAGCCAACATCTGTTTCTGAATCACCCAAGAAGCAATAGCATTAGTTGAGTGGGTCCTCAGATTGTGTCTGTGCCTCAGTAACCAAATAGCATGTTGAGCCATTCCATTATCATGCTGATTTATGTTGACCGTGGTTCATCTTTGCTGGCCTAGAACATTAGATGCGCGCATTTTACCAGTGAACCCTTTTCAAACGCATTACTAATGTGTTTGATTTGTTTGGCTTATTTGTTGAGACTTGGCAAGGCAATGGTGTAGAAGAGGAAGGGGAGGCAAAATGATCAGATTCCTAATTTATCTTTTTCACGCACTGTAGCAAAAGGGCGGACAAACATGGAGCTCCGAGAGAAGTTCATGTTAGCAGATGGGGCTTCCCAAAGTATGGCTGCCTTCCGATCAAGAGGACGTAGATCACGGCCTTCTTCAAGGGGCGCTTCTCCCAACAGATCCATGTCTGTATCCAATCAACCTGCCCAAGGAACTCCAATTTCAGCTCTTGCTGCTAGCACACCCAAGGTACGGTTTGCGCAATCTTTGATAGACTTGATATACATTGCAACAATCTTTAATGTTGCTTAATAGGATTGAGCCCACCTAACAGCAATTAAAAGCAGTGAAGCTGCCCTAAAAACCAATAGGGAGATTTTAGTTATTTTTTTCCAAAGACACTAACGAAATTTTTTGTTGTTTCCTCCTCTCCCCTGCCTTACAATATGCAGCGGTCATGCAGGACTGGGAAAAAACATGTAAGCCAATTAGACCACAGAACCAACTTGTTCAAGGAGAAAAACATTGACCCCCCCCCCACCACCACTGCATTTTAGAAAACACACATAATCCTTTTTCATACAGAATGCTTGTCATCACTTGGTCCTGCTCAGTTTTGATGTTTTGTTTTGGACTTTTACTGTGAGATTCATTCTTCATAACCTGACTGTTCCATTTCATGACATTGTTTTCCAACAACTGTTCTTCACATTGTGATTTGCCATTGTTTCATACAGACACCCCATCTTTTAACACGCAACTATGGTAAACCATGGTTGATAAACAGCAAAACGTCCTCTCCTTGTAAACCATCAGAGTGCTCTGAATATCAAGTATCATCCACAGAGGTACAGTAATGGACAGATTTTTTTTTAGTCTAACCACATTTCCTTCACTAAAACTATCCTGTTAGCTAACAATGATTTCCATTCCTTATCAACTTCCATATTAATGCACTCATACTTGTTTTCTCTCTTCTGTCCATCAATTTTGTATTTTTCTCTTTTTTAAACTTGTAAATTAATCAATTGTTTGAAGTTTGTTTGACTCCTATTTGGGCCTTGTTGAGCATGTAGTCCTTTTCAAAATGATAATCGATTTTATACAAGTGAAATTTATAGATTCCTATGAATGTATAGATTACTATAAATTTTTATATAATTTCTATCGATTTATATATAAAATCTTTGTTAACAGACACTTGCATACAAATAACATATCTTCATTCCTATGTTGGCAGTAAGTTAAATATAATTTTATTTGATTATATCATTGATATAAAGACTAATTGGGCCTTATTCATAATTAGCTTGCAATCTAATGTTATTTTGCTCTAAAACATGCAGATGTTTAATTATGGTCTTCAGGTAATTTAGCCTATCCAACACCTAGGTTTAAGTCAGGAAGTTTATTAAATTAAAAATGTCTGGGAAAATCTATTAACAATATAATTTGCAAAACTCTAAAATGTGCAGTGATAAATTTAAATTTGAGGTGTTTTAGCCTCAAATCTTGCATATCCTCAACTGGCCTCCGGCTATCCTTCCTCAGCCTGACGCTCTCCTGATGAGCTGGAAATCAACCCCCATCCCCTTTCTGCTGAATGAATATTACAGGATTTATAATCATTAAGTGGCACCAATTTGGGAGATTATTGTTAGTGTGTCACTCCAGAAAAAAAAGATTTGCCTGCAGGGTAACGTTTCAATTCCCAGGAGCTCTTGCTATAACACCAGTGAATTGGAGTGGCATGCCATGAATGGGCCCATAGGATACAAAGAGCCCTTGTTCGTACAACATGAAATTTTCCATCTCGGTTGTATTATTCTGAAGGGGAACAAGAATGGGAAGGAAATCCACAATTCCCCATCTTTTGCTGTGATCGTGATGAGCCAGAACTTAATGAGTGGCTGTTCATCTGCCAGCAGTATTGATTTACCAAAAGGCATGTTGAAGAAGGAACTCATTTTGGAACTTTAGTGACTGAAATATATTAGGGATTTAAATAATTACATACTTCAAATTTAGGCAGATATATTACTTTAAACCATATAATTTCTATTAAATATAATCTCATTCAATAATCATATATCTGTATACCATATTACAGCAATTAGAACAGAAAAAATACCATATTACTTCTGCTGCTTAAGTATAAAACTATATGGAGTATGAATGATTGTCAGTTTTTAAATACAGGTGGTGTCCTTGACTTTTAGCAACTGTTCGAAATTACAGTGGCTCTGAAAAAGTGACTTTCAACCACCCCCCACGCTTGCAACCAGGGCAGCATCCCCATGGTTCACATGCTAAAAATTCAGTCACTTGGCAACCAGCATGCACTCACAACAGTTGCAGCATCACAGCATCCTTTGCGATCGCCACTTGTGACCTTCCCAGCTGGCTTCTGCCAAGTAAAATCAGTGGGAGAAGCCGGCTTGTCAGCTACATGATTGATTCACTTAACTGCAGTGATTCACTTAGCAGCTTTGGCAAAAGGGTCCTAAAATCAGGCACAACTCACTTAACGATGACTTGAAAATTCTGGTCCCAACTATGGTCATAAATTGAGGAATACCTGTACTCCATTCTATTTAGTCCTGTTCTTAGCCAATAGCTAACTATAACAAAAAAACTTACTTTGGCAGATTGAACTCTTTGGAAAGCTTTTCTTGGCAAATATTATCACTATTACTGATAAAGTAGGTGGAATTTCGTATCCAGGACAGAAGAGGGATGCTGCAGAAATTAAGAATTCTAAACGTTGGTGAAATTGAGCATTAGATTGTGACATTGTTACGTCGAAAAGTATTTACCTCACCATCAATATTGCTATATTCACATCACATTAAGCCATAATACTTTGGAATAGAAATGAACAAAATACAGTACCTCCTTCTATCAACTGGAGTGTTTAAATAAACCACGGAAGAAATATCTGTGATTTATTTAGCCTGGGGTCCATATTGGGAAGTCTGGCTTCTATTCATACCCTCGATAAAAGATCAGAAGGTTCCTTTGAATTCCAACAATTTAGGCATCTTGTTTCTTGATGCTGAACATTAAGAAGAGAGTTTATGACATCACGGCCCAACACTTTTTATACATAGACATTAAGAATGTTGTACATAGTTCACCTTCTTTTCAGTCTCCAAGCAGAAAGACACAGATGGTACATTATGTCGTGCCCCTATGTACAAGGAGCGGCATGTTGGAGGGGATGGGGATTTCAATTTTTACACAGTCTTTTGAGTTACACTGGCCAGAACATAATGTGATGCCTGCTGGTGGACAATGGAACTCTTTTTCCTCCATAAAAATAACATTTCAGATTATTTTAATTACTGTTCATGGACAGTATCCTGCAGCTTACTCATTTTTTAGAGTAAACCCATTAATACCAATGCAACTTTTAAGTCATTCACAATTAATCCAGTCCCATTGATTTCAATATATCTGTGCTAAGTCTGGATCCAATGAAATGTATTCGCGTTTTTGTAGATGTTAATGAAACACGTTAACTAGAAATAAATCTGAAAGGTGCTAGGTTTATCCATATTGATTAGTACAGGGAGTCCTTGACTTATAATCATTCATTTAGGGACCATCCAAAGTTACATCGTCACTGAAAATGGGTAACTCATGGTTGTTTTCACACACAGGACCAGTACCATATCCCCATGGTCACGTGATTCTCTGGTCTTTGGGCCATATGCAGGATATACACATTATCAAGTGTCTAATCCGTGGAAAGAGGTGGGCCCAGGTTGCAAAGACTCAGAGGGTTTCTCTGAAGGACTTTAGAAACCTCCAGTCTTCCATCTTATGGGCTCAGTTACGCAGCTATATGGTGGTTTGTGACAGAAAAAAAAATGGCTGCACCATAAACAATAATATACATAAATACACTATGAGCTTTCAATATACATAAATACACTATGAGCTTCTCTGAAATCTGATCCTAAATTGGTAACTATATACAGTATATATCTTGACGTGTAAGATTTATTTGTTCAGATACTGCATGCTGTATACTGTCCAGTATACATATATACTGTAATCCTGTCGGTGTATACAGTAGCTTGCTACATTGCGCAGACAACAACAGACAAGTCCCTATCTCAAGAAGGCAGCAATAAATACAGCCTCTCTGTTTGTTTTCCTGTTGACCTGCTTTTAAACTATCCGGTCAAAGCATTTTCTTGTGATCTGGGTAGAGTTCCAAGTTCAGCCCTGTTTAATGCCCGTGCTTCACTCAGTACTCTTATATCCTACAGGGAACTCCAATACAAGGGAGTAAACTTAGACTTCCAGGATATCTTTCTGGGAAAGTTTTTCATTCTGGAGAAAATAATGGCCTAATTTCAACAGCAGCCACAAGAGCCAGAGCACACTTTGCAGGTGAGTATTGGATTTGCTGGGATGGGCCATGGGCGTCCGTGTGGACATCCCACTTGCAGAAGTTGAAAGTATCTGTCTCTCCTTAGCCTTCAGTCTGTAACTCAGTCTCTCTTGGTTTTACCGTTATATAAATCTTATTATAATCGAGACATGTCTTTTCAGCCTGGAATGCTATGAAGCAGTAGAAGGAGCCAGTTGCATTTACCTTGAGTCAGATTTCAAGTATGTGAGAAGGCCCTCTTCAGAAGCAGCCTCCGTTTGCTGTCTGTTCCACTAACCATGGATGTCTTCATGGATGTCTTTCATTTTGTCTTGCAGAAACTAGAAAAACACCAAGCAGGCCTGGAAGTCGTGCCGGAAGTAAAGCCGGGAGTAGAGCAAGCAGCCGCCGGGGCAGCGATGCCTCTGACTTCGACATTTCAGAAATCCAGTCAGTGTGCTCAGACCAATCAGAAACTGTTCATACCCCAATCAGACCAACACCCCGACCGAATTCTCGGTCTGCCTCGGGAAAGTCTTCCAAAATTCCAACTCCCCAAAAACGATTGCCGGTCAGCAAATTAGACAAGTCCTCCAAGAGATAATGCAGTTGGCTCCTCAAAGTATTTTCTTTTCTCCTGTGCATTAAATATTTAAGTTTCTAAGATGTAAATTATCCTGTAGAAATTATTGTGAAATATGACAAGAGTTGGATTTTTAATTTTGCAGATGGCCTTATTTGTGTATCAGTCTTGTTATTTTATGTGTATAGTTTTTGTCAACTTTTCTTTTGTTTATGCCATATTCTTTGTGAATAGGAGAACATTTTTTTAATGTAAACTAACAGTTGTTTGCAGTAACATATAGAGAAGTTACTAAAAGATGTTACCGCTAACCCTTTGCATCATACATCTGCCTGGCCTGTTGCTTCAACATTTACAGTAAAGGATACCTCAGAACTTGATCTTCATACAAATGACAAAAATCTAAGTAATATATTTTGAACTAACAACATGGACGTTAATGACATGTGATCGAAACTTAAACAACAATGTGAAGACAACAGTTCTTTTTGCCATTGTATTAATTAAACAATTTCTTCCAGTAAATTCATAAATATTGCAATATACTCCCATGGTTTTCAGTGTGCTGTTGCTTTAAGAGACGGCAGAAACGATCTTGGTCCGGGGTGAGGTTTACACTAGCATTAGAATGTCAGTATAACCTGCATTCATTGTAATGTGAGGTTTTCTTTTGCTTGAGTGGATGATAGCTTTGTATCATTGGACTCATTTTATATCAAAGCAGTTTTGCTTGCAGAAAGAAAAAAAAATCTACAAAATAAATCTTGTCCCCTTCTCTTTATTGCTGTGGTTTTCCTTTTATCCCAGGGAAAGAGATATTCTTCATCATGCTTACCTTATGTCTGCTCCGAAAAATGCAAACCATTTCTTCAAGACAAAAAGTGCCTACTTATTTTATATTAAAAGGCATCCTGCCTCAAAAAAAAAAACTAACAACAAAAATATCAATATTATTTGTTTCTCATCTCAGATCCTGGCCCTCTCCATTTCTTTCTGTTTTATCTGCAAATAAAGTTTCTCCGTTTCTTTTAAGTTCCTGATGTTTCACATACTGTTGTATCCAGCTGTTCACATAGTGCTTTTACAATTATTCTTTACTATTTGTGCAAAGGCTCTTGATCAAGAGACACCTCTGCTAACAAAAAGATACTCTATATGCCTCAGATGTCTTTGTACCAGAATGCTGGAAAGCAGCCAATACAAGACTGGTTTTAAAAAAGGACTTGAGTGTGGGAGGTGTAATCTGAAAAAATGGCAGGCTGGTCAACTTAAGGTCTATGCCAAATAAATTATCCAAAGCCATACTTTAGTTGAAGCATCAAGCCATAGCTTTAGCAAAGTTTTAAGTTTTCTCACTTTAAACCTACACTGGGAGTGCCAAGGGTAATAAGTGAAGTTTATTTTTACCATGTGGTGCCTTTTGATGAAATTCCTTATTGGAGTCACTGAATAAAAAAGACTTGTCTCCTGGATTGGTAAAAGAACATAAAGTAGAAAATAGGATAAATGGCTGGCGTATATTATGAAAGAATGAAAGCCACTGTTCTACAATGGGACAGTATAGTTTCAACTGCCTGGAAGATGAGAGATGACCAGGTTTGCAATTGACTCCAAAATTGTCAACAGGTTTACAATGCAAAGAAGTTCAAAATGTAACTAAGCAGCCTGGAGAAGTAGTGTTAAGGTAATGAGTGTAGTTTAGCATAAGCAGGACTGAAATGATGTACATGGTGGAAAAATTGCTACCTTATTAACAGACAACTTGTAGGATTTAGGCTGGAAGTTGACCAATGTTCAGAAGTAGCCCAGCTGAAAGATTGGTGAGACGGGAGGAATGCAGGTGAGGGAGGTTACGTTAAGAAAATGGCTAGGTTCTGCCAGGTCATCTTCCGCTCTACCAACCTGCCAGCCAGACTGTTTTAGGACACAGCTTGATTAGTCTTCCAGAAGACTGTTAGATGGATTATTAGTCTTCCTATCACTTAGCTAGAAAATGGAACTAGCAGAACTCTTTAACGGTTTCACCCCAGCTCCCAAATATCCAAATTGGTAAGTGTAGCAGAAAATAAATTTTGCCCTGTTTACATTGTCTATCAGACCTCAGATATTTTTTTTTAGCCTTTTAAAAGATCATTGAAATATATACAGTGGTACCTTGGTATTCAATTGTTTTGAAACTTGTCAAATTTGGTACTTGTCACATTTTGACAAGAAAATGTCCTGACTCTTGTATTTTTTTTTTTTTTTTGGTACTCAATGTGCAAGCTAGAACTGATGTTAGTTTCCTCATGCTATTCCTTATGGGAAAAATTTGATACTTTATCATTTTTGGTACTCATCGCATCTCCCAGAACCAATTAACAAGTACCAAAGTACCACTCTATTTAATAATAGGTGTGTTTTTCCAGACGAACAATGTATATAGGTGCTGTTCTGCAAGCAGGTACAGGTACTCCTTAGCTTACAACCACAACTGAGCCCAAAATTTCTGTTGCTAAGCAAAACAAGTTAGTTGTGCCCCATGTTAGGACCTTTTTTGCTACACTTGTTACGTGAATCATGGGATTGTTAAATGAATCTATCTTCCTTCATTGCTAGTCAGAAGCTGCTGGGAAAGTTACAAATGGTGATCACATGACTTTGGGACAGTGCAGCTGTCGTAAATACATGCCAGTTGCCAAGCACCCAAATTTTGATTATGTGACCATGGGGATGCTGCAATGGTTGTAAGTGGGAAAACCGGTCACAAGTCACTTTTTTCGGTGCTGTTGTAACTTTGAATCATCCCTGAACAAATGGTTGTAAGTCGAGGACTATCTATAGCGAGCCTGTTTTTTAAGGAGATGCCACAAACTCCACAAACAATTGGAGCCTCATTAAAAAATGGAATGCCTTACAGTCTGGCAGGGAGTACTACTTGCTAGGACAATAGCACAAATGCCATGAGGTTGACCATCTCTGTAAAAAGCTGAGCCTATTGCATCAGCCAGGCTCCTCTGCAAAAAAACAGAAAGGCAAGCTGGGTGCTGCTGAACCTTGAAGGTGAGTGAGGAGCAGGCTGAGTCCTATTAAGTCCCTGGGTTGGGCAGAGGAGAAGCAGATTGAGGCCTACAGCAGGGGTCCCCAACCCCCAGTCCATAGGCCGGTATCGGGCCGCGGCATGCCAGCAACCAGTCCACACAAACAAACAAAGCCCCATCCGTGGGATGCAGGCAGCACACAAAACCACGCACACTCCGGTCCACGGAAAAACCTTTCTCCACAGAACTGGTCCCTGGTGCACAAAAGGTTGGGGACCTCTGGCCTACAGGCTTTAACAGCCCCTGGACGCTAGTAGCTTTTACTGCTGTTACACACGTGAGTTCTCAGGTTCAGCTTACAGTCACTCACACACAGCCCTGAAAAATTGCCACACTCAAATCACTTTTGACTTGAGTACTGAGACACAAGCATTTCTTTAGAATACACGGAAACCCAGTGAATTTAAAACAACAGCAAATTTAACTGATTACAAAGTATATCTATTTGCTCGTTTACACACCCATGCTCTCATCCACACTTACACAACAACCTCAACTAAGTTTGCCAGGCACTAGTCAGAGGGATGGAACCTGTTACGTCTGGATCCAAAAAAGACTCAAAACAGTGGGCTTCAGGACCTCTTTTATCTCCCCAAAGCCTTGCTTTGTTCCAGATGGTGGGACTTGGGTAGGGGCTTCCCATGTGCTCAGGCCCAGCTTCTTTCATCTGATGCAGGTGATATTTTTCCCTGTTTCATCAATGACTTGGTTCCTTCTTAACTACTTTCCCTGAGGGAGCTTTTCCTGGCTTTTGTCCATCCTGCTTATGTGTTTACATATGGTGGCTTAGGCCTAGTCTTACACTGCCCACCTTTGGGCCACCTTGGATGGCGGAATGCCTGGGTTGGGAGCAGGCTAAGACCTGCAGTGAACTCAAGGGGCAGGGAGTGGAGCACAAAATCCCTCAGGGTGGGGGAGACCAGGGGCAAGCAGGCCTGGGCCTGTGCTAGGTCGCCTGAGGCCTGCCCTATCTCTGAGGCCTCCCATATTCTGCTTAACCACTCACACATTCATTTAACGGTTTTGTCAGGGAAAGCAACCCCTAGCCACATCCTCACCAAGCTCATGAATGAAGGGTAAATCCACATACTTGTCTAGCAAAAGAAAACTGTTCAACTGGAACCGCTAAGGGCAAAGGTAGATTGCCTCAACTGTGGGCACTGTAGGCACGAGACAAAGGTTTCAACATGAGCATGTGGCCTCAAAAATGGTTTGAGCTGTGATTAGCAAATCACGCAGGAGACCTGTCATTTTATATGGGAGAAACAGAATGCCTGAAAAGGATTTTAAGTTAGGCTCCAGGCCCAATTATTGAAGAACCAAGAAGCATCCCCAAGAGGGGCCAAGAGGCACAGAACTTCAGCCACAAAAGCTGCACCTGCCCTGTTGCAAATTTTGCTCTTCGGCAGAGGTTCAAGTCTACCATTCCCAGGGAGAATTTAAGGGGCAAAAAAAAGTTGGTATGCTTTTGTTGAGTTTAGATTAACTTCAGGACTGTATCTACTTTTCTGCAGAATTATATAATTCTGTTGTTCACTGTATTGTTGGTTTATTTCTTGGTGGGTTTGTTTTCAAAATTTCTTGTAGCATTTGTGTTTAATTAGATCTATTTTTCTATTTGCATTTTGCCTAGCAGCAAAATGGCAGGCAAAGTTGTCTATGAAGCAAATGGTTATTCATCATTTATGTGCTATGGATCAATTGAGAACACTCTGCTGTCTTTTTCAAGGTTAGTTTGTGCAGCTGCCTACAATTTTTAAATCCCTGACAAAATATAAGTGGTGCCCATTCATGAATACTGTTGATTACTTCTTAGCAGTATTCCTCTGATGGACTGCATTCAAAAATAATAAGAGAAAAAAGCCTGAGGTTGCTTGTACGGATTACTGCATACTGGTGTTTTTTGTTTGTTTGTTTGTTTGTTTTGCCACAGGGATGCTTTCTCACACACATAATTCAACTAAATAGTCATCTGAATAGGTTAACCTGTGGAATGAAAAACTTGCTCACATACACTTCACGCATTACCATAAAAGGTTATTTAGTGAGTTTTTCCCAAGAAAAGAAAGTGGTTGCTCATAAGAAGAAAGCTGTTCAAAATAAAGGATATATTTAATCTGCCTGTCCTTCTGTCTCCCAGTTCTCTAAAAGCCCTGAAACTGGCAAAAATGAAATTCATGGTTGAAAGGCAACAAGAATCCATAAAAGAATGCACTTTTTCTATTATCAGACAAGATCATTTTCTGTTGCAAGGAAAGCAGCTTAGTATGATGAAGAATCTTTATAACATAGTGTTTGCCTGACCTGGCAGTTATGCACTGACACCAAAGTTTTTCTTACATTGGCTTTAACCGGGACAATATTTGAGATGCATTGCTGTACAAAGCCAAATAGCATAAACTTTGAACTTATAATACTAGACACTGTTCTTTCTGTTTCTAAAGTTTCCTTAGTGCACATCAACACCTCTGAACAAAATCTGAGAGCTGACAGGATCTGTTACAATTTTCAACATGTGGCCAAATTACCAGGGAAGAGCACTACCCACTGTAGTAGTGAGGAAGTCAGAGCCACAGAGAAGGAAATATTAAAAGGGCAGAAAAATATATTCCCTCAAAAGGATTTTTTAAAAGCAGAAACCAACCAACCTAGTCCAGGGGTCAGCAACCTAAAACGGTGAAAGAGCCACTTGGACCCGTTT